TTTTACATGGAAAATAATATATTAAAAAATCCTTTATTAAATCATGAACCTTTATTTTACTAATAATCTTTTAACAAGATTATTATTTTCATGGTTTTTTGTATTGCCATAATTCGGTAAGGGTGCCAAACAATTTCAGCACGAGTCATATAAAAAATAATTGACATTCAAAACACAATTGATCTTAATTAAATTGATCTTAATTAATTTAATATGTGACCTTTTCAAGTCTTAATAAAACAATTATGTGAACCAATATTAGCTTACAAACATTCGATAACAAGAATTTATATGACATTCACATTTCCCCTTCTTTTTTTTTTTTTTGAATCACAATTTATAGATTGAGAAAAAAACTCAAGTATGTGAAGGATCATGTATCCTATAGAGGTGCAAAATAAATAAAATCTCCATCTAAGGTCCCAATATCATACCGTTGAATCTACTAATCATACATACATGAATAATAAGCTAAAGTAAAGGATTACCTCTCGTAGTGCGGATCTAAATTCCTTTCCTTTAATTAGCCATCCAAGTGTCCAACCTCTATCGATGATCCATGCAGTTCAAGTATCCTCTAAGAAGCACTCAAAATTAATGAGATGCTAGCTCCACCTTTTTCAATTAAGTATTTCCTTTAGAAATCAATCCCGGCAACTTTGCGACAACCTTAAAGGAGGAGGAAAGAGTATTTCTTGCTAGGGTTTAGGAGAAAACTATTTTCTCCTTTTTTTCTCTCTTGGCCGTGTGCCCTAACTTATTTTTAGGGCTGGCTAAAATTTCCCACCATGTTTTTTCTTTTTGGTCGAATTTATCTTTTTCTTTTTTAACTTGGTCGAAAATACTCTATGATTAATCATTACCTTCCTTTATGCCGCATCTCTCCTCCTATTTATAGGGGAGAGTTTTCTTGTCCTCCAAGGACAAGGAAATGGACTGGCTATGAGTCCATAAATGACTCTAGTTGTTGATTCCTTATCCTCAAAGGATGATGAGTTATTTTATATGTGGACTACATGATTATTATCTTTTAAAACATTCAACCTTATCCAATAAGGTTAATATCTATCTTTAAAACATTCATCCTTATCTAATAAGGTTGATGTTTATCCTCCCATCAAAATTATCTTTAAGTTTTTTAATTAAATCTAATGGGCCAAAACTAATTTAGCCCAGCTTAATTTATTTGGACTATTCAAATAAATATTCTTAGATTATTTTGACGAGGTCTACATTAGGAAATAAATTTCTAAAATACCCTTTAACCTAAATTAGAAAACTCCTTTCCTTTTAGGTTCTTTATTTTCAAATTTGAAACTAATTTCCAAATTAGGAAACCGATTTCTAAAATAGAAAAATTTCATTTTTGAAAACTCTTTCCAAAATAAGAAACTTTTTCCAATATCCTTGCTTCTCATTTGTAATGTGAATACTTAAACTTATACGTGTGACTTAATAGGCTCCTAGATATGTTGGTAATGTATAAAGAATAAAAGACTCATCTTTAATCTCTTGATACATAAATCAAGATTAGCCTCTAGCAAGACATCATGACTACCTAATTCTCTAGGAGGATTAGTTAATCTATTATTATCTTTCACAAGCATGGTTACCATATAATTAAGTCTTTATGTCAACTTATTACAGTATGATCTCGAACTTGGTTATTAGTCTTATTCGATTATGATCACATAAGTTTTTTTCGATTCTCAAATATCTTAACTCTTAGAGTAGACCAACAATGCTCTATTGTTGTACTCCTACCGTGGCTATATATTTCTTGAGCGGACATTTATCGAAGTGCAATGTGATAAATCCTTTAGCATATAAGGAATGACATGTCCTATCTTAATCATATACCTACCTCCATTAGATTCCTAGTGCATTCAACGAATCGACCACGTACAACCCGTTTATGGGTCCATCGAAACGAGTGTCAAAGTGCATAAGTCCTCAAATGAGATAACCGTGATGACCTCAAATCTAAGGACCATTTGTACCTATCTCGTATGAGATTCTCATAGACTAAAACCAAATGGGTTCTTATAGCGAGTTAAGTCCAGTGACATGTTCACTAATATAAATCACCTAAACGCTTACTTTGGCATCACCATGTCAATAGGTGTGAGATTTTTACTCGCTATCATATAGCATAAGCATAGCACTTACAAAGTCTATCCGCATTTTTCAATGTCCATTCTTGACAATGCTACGACTTAGGACATTTAATGATATCATTTATGTGTATTAGTGTTTGTCTCACATCTTTCGATCAATCACTATTGCAAATGCATATCATAAGGACTTCTATCTAATTCTACTAAACATGTAAACAAAAGAATTAATAGAATGACTTTCTTATTATTATTAAAATAAATAATGCAATGATATATTAACTCAAGTCCATCCATACATTGTTAGATCTAGAGCACCTACACTAACAAGTATGGGCCAATAAATATCCATACAATAATATAGAATTACTTGTAAATAAAATTATCACATACTTTCATCATCAAAAGCAAATTTCAATTATGTAAAGCAAAAATCAAATAGCTTTAATAATTTGACAATTAAAATACTTACTTGACTTTTTATACTTATTGTATAGTAAGTACCGTTGGAGACTTGAAATACTTTTTATTGACCAAGCTTCCATTGTCTTCAATGCCACATAAATTTGATTTCCTTGACTTTGCATCCAAGATGATCAATATATCCATATAAAAATACTAGATATTTGTTTCCTTGACTTCTCATTTATCTAGATAACATGACATTAATATAACAAATAATTTTAATGTTAATAATTATAATCGATCAATATAAATAAATTTATAAATCAATTCTATTTTTTTATCAACCATAAAATTCACAAAAAAAAATCAATATTATGGTTAATATCATAAATATTAATTTTCAAAACTATCAATGCTCTTGACCTTGAATAATAATATTTGATAGGAAATCGCAAATTACAAAATACATTACGGATCAATATGTAAATAATCTCATAGATTTGCACATAAAATATACTAGTGGAAAATAATATTTATTTTTCATCCAACATGATCTCGGTATCTCTCGTTATCCACATGGTAGTGATAATTTCATTATTTTTTTTTAAGAACAACACAATCACACGAACGAGAGACCGACATAAAATTAAGTTTATTATCTTTAGAGCTCAATAAAATAAAAAAATTAACAATATATGTTTATTATCACATATAAAGAATTATCAATTCGCCTATAACAATATATGGTATGGATGTAAGAGTAAAATAAGACACAATAAATGAAATGATTTTTTTTTCTTTTCACAAGGCTAATTAACATCTAAAAATTTATTTTCAACTAATGAAATTTGTTACATGTATAAAACCAACTAAGATGTTAGCAAAATTATATATATTTTTTCAATACTTGTTTTATTATCAATCGAGTAGAATCATCGAACACCAATCAAAAACCACAATAGATAAGTAACGACATTGACATTATAAAATACATGATATTAAAATTGTCATGCCCAAATTTAGTTCACAATTTTAATCATTAAATCACGACATTGTATCATCTCAAATTGTTGTTCCTAGCACACAAAAGGAACATGATTAAATAATAAATATTGACACAATAAATAAATAAATTTATTGTAAATTAAAATAAAAAAAATTGAAAAATTTCCTTGATCATTAGAAAAAATAATGATTAAAATCACATTACCATTTTTTGCGGTACACGGATGACCGAACCATCAAAATAGTTTTTCCATAATTTTTAGGTGACTTGCTCAAGACATAACCAGGTTACTTTCTTGCGATTATACATGCCATTCGCGGAATCTATCCGATGCAATGGATCAAGAATATATTACACACTATCTCGGGAATATAACAAGCTTAACCACCTTAGCGTGTCTTAATAAATTTGTATTATTTTTAAGACTTGAAACTCTAAATAAAATTAGCACCACTTTTACCCAAATATATAACTAAAAAATTATATGGTTTTTTTGTTTAAGTGGGAGTATAAAAAATAAAACAAATACTTTATTAGAAGGTGCTCTCATTTTTCTCTCTTTAGCAAAATATCTCTTACACATGCAACCTTTTAAAAACTTCACGCGTGCGCGCACACACACACATATATAGCTCAAATAAAAATCACTATTTTTAATAATCAATTATGACAATTAAATTAAAAACGGTAAGTAAGTTAACTTAATTAAAAAAAAACATTTTTTAATTTTCTTTTTTAAATGAATTGGCCGTTATGAACTGTTATCAAAACAGTTTTAAAAAACCTATAAATCTAATTAAAACAGTTGCCATAACTTTCAATGTTTTATTAAAAATTATTCCAACAACTTGTGTGAGAAAAATACTATAATTGATCCTCGACTATTCAAATATGGCCATTTTAATTTTCAAATCTTCAATCGATACCCATCACTAATAATTCCGTTAGTTTGATTTGACAATTTCAGTCCATCAAATGAAAATGAATAATATCTCTTTATTATCTCTTTAATTGATAATTTGATAAATTTTTGTTACGTATTATTTTTATATAATATGTTATTCTACATGTTATATGCTATTGAAAAATTTACTAAAATTCTATTACTATATTAAAAAATATTTAGAATAGAAGGATTAAATAAATAGAGAAAAATATAAAAGTTACATTAGAAAAAAATGTTAAGAGCACCCGTACGAAATATACTATTATCTCAGAAATAAAAGGTACAATGGAGAAAAAAAAATAATGCCTTGGAGCCCGACCCATTGCCATAGGCCATACCTAGCACAACAGATAAATTGAGAAACAGCACCAACCACTCTCCAGGAGGCACGCGTTCCATAATTGAAAAAAAAGCCCATTTGAGCGCTACCATCAGAGAAAAGTGGTAGCAGTGACAGTCTCGCTGAGAAAAGAAGGCTAGTAAGCAAAATAGAGTAGCAGATTCTGCCACTTCCTTTACAGATACCCAAATGGATCTGGATTATCTTCTTCAAATTCCCTCATGGAATTCTGTTAAGTATACTAGTTTTTATCATTTATTCCAAGTTTAACGAAACAAAATCACTTGCTTTCTTGACTGTGATCTATTTTCTTCTCTGCCATTTATAGGTTGCTATACTCGCAACATTCTTTACTTACCTCGCAATTGCTGGATCTATACTACCTGGAAAACTGGTTCCTGGGGTCCCTTTACAAGATGGCTCTCGTCTTCATTATCGTTGCAATGGTCTTGTCTTGTCCAAATCTGTTTTCATTTGCGTTTATATATCTTCCTTTCTTTTTCTTTCTTTCGAACAGGGCTTATTGTTTATGTCTATTCTTGTACAGGGCTGTTATCAATGCTGTTACTGGTTGTTCTTCTTGCTGTTGGCGCTAAGATGGAACTTATATCGCTCACTGTGCGGTTTTTTCTTTCTTTTTTTCTATATATATTTTTTTTAACTTTGTTGATTTTAATGCACAATCACATTTTCTTTGCTCTATTTGGACTTCGTTTATTGGTTAATTAATGTTCAAACAACGTGTGCAGGCGATATCAGAGAGAGGACTTGAGCTGCTATCGGCGACATTCATTTTCAGTCTTCTTGTAAGTTAGATTTGAATTAAATTTCATGCTTTGAAGCTTTTGGGGTATGATGCTTTATTTACTACTGAAGTATCAAGAATACACATATCCATTTTAAATTGGAGGATCATCCACTTGAGTGCAAGTCTAGCCCTTTTTTTCCTCCCGCCATATGAAAGCTTTCCCAGGTCGCATACATCATGAATTAGAAATGGGGTAGACATATTTAAGTATTGCTGAACTTGTTTCATACTTCTCAACTTTGTCCTCATTTCCAAAATTGCTGAGCTTCATACGGAAGTGCCTAGACCATAAGTAGATAATGACCATGATCTATTTCTCAAATGCAAACATTGGTCAATGTTTGATACAAGAATGATGTGATGTGGGAAATTCTCTACACCTATTGATTCTAAGGAAGCCCTGTCAGCAAAAACAGAATCTTCAAATTCTGAAAAGCAGGTGGTGAGGAAGGTAGTGCCAACCTTTGGCTTATTGAGTTCAACCCCGTGAGACTTGATCTTATGTTATCATTAAAAGCATCTTTAGTTTTTTAGTCATTATGCTGAATGTGAGATGCTTCGGTTATGCAATTTTTCTTCTGTCCATTACTAATTGTAGTACTCTTTGGCCCTTTTGTCTTCTAGCCTCCAACAAATTTTCCTTAATATTTCTTCACCAGACTAAACAAAATGCACTCTCTGTCATCCAATCAAACTAGAAGGAGTGCATGCGCATCCAGTTTGAGCTCAATGTGTCTGGAGATCACTTTAGGATGCTTTAGCACTAACCATACCTTGCTATTGACTGAATTATAGTTGCTGCTCTTTACTTTTTCTTTGTTTGCGAAGTAACAATTTTTGCTCCTTTCTAATAGTTCCTCCAACTCTCCACTTGCATTTTAGGTGACGTTAGCACTCTATGCTGCTGGTTGCAAGTCACGAAATCAGAGCTCTTCCCTTAAGCCTTGTGTCACAGGAAACCTAATACATGACTGGTACTCCATCAAAATAGCTTGATCCAAGAGATACACCTTTGAGTAGCAGAATTTGAGCAAATTTATTACATGATGACTTGAGGGTCCTTTTTTTTTAACATTCTGTTTCCTACCTGTAGTTAAAGGAAGATCTGCATTTTTGTTAGTTTACTGCACATAATTGTGAATATGAATGAGGAAGAGTAAACTTTGAAGAAGCAGGCTTAGTTCTACTATTACTATCTTACACTGCAACAGAATCCAAGCTACAATATGTAATCCATGATCAGATAATCTCATTGCTGTATGCTTCTGTCAGCCAATGCAACACAAAAATATGGCTGCTGAGATTTTACTAATAACTATTATGTTCATTTACCTCCATTGTTTCTATCTAGCCTGTTCGTTTTTAATGAGCACAAGTAATTGATTCTCTGGCATAAAGTTTCCTGTTCCCTCCTTCATCATTGAATTTTGTCTTTATTGTGGCAGCTTCTACTGTGCCTACTTAATTAACTTTCGATGATTTCTTCAGTACATGTTCAGCATATTGTCTGTGAAAGTAGAAGGTTCATCTCCTGTGTATCTGTAAGCTTCCCTGACAGAATACTCTTTTGATCTATTATGTTGATTTTATTACCCTTTGTCATTCAATAGGTGGTTTGGAATACAGCTCAATCCTTCTTTTTTGGGCGTGGACCTCAAGTATGTAATCCTCTCTTCTGTGGGAACATTTCTTCTGTGGAACCTGATAAGAATTTTAATCAATGCTCATGCAATTCAGCAATCATATGATGATAGTCTTGAGGATTTTAATCTTGATCTCAAACTATATGTTGTCTATATCTGCTACTGTACTTCGTGCTTTTTTTATTTTACTGTCTCATTTAATGCTGTCATATCATGAATGTTCTTTATTCTTGTTTGGTCTGCTGGTTTTGTTTCCAGCTGTTAACAGCATAGATAAGATGGTTTAACATGTGTGGAAAATCATTGTTTGCCACTTGAAGTAGTAAAGAGATGACAAAATTGTGAACTAATAATGGTGGTTCTCTTCTGTAGATTCTTCTTTGTTAGAGCTGGAATGATGGGATGGTTATTTATCAATTTGTCGGTTCTAGCAAAAACTATTCAGGACGCCACCTTGAGCCTTTCGATGATCCTCTACCAAATATTCTGTCTGGTAATTTCGCAATTCTTGGGAATACATGATTTCATTGTCATCCCTCTTCTGTGTCAATTTGGATTGCTGAATGTCATTTTTGTCTACATCCTGCTTTCAGCTATACATCCTGGACTACTTCTTTTATGAGGAGTACATGACCTCCACGTAAGTGCATATTTTTGCCTCTGCTGCAGGAAATGTTTTCAAACACTCTTCTTTTCTCTTTTTACTTTTAAACCTGCAGAAATCTGATAAATAGGAATGAGAAAGATCGATTGTGGTTTCCAGTTTGAGTTTTGTGCTGAGATTAAAAGACTCTGGTTCACGTTTGTTTATCAACAGGATAGAAAAAAGGGCAAGGAAGGGAGAGAAAACAGGACTTTTGAGTGCAAGTGGGCCATAACAATATGACTCAATATTAACCTACTTGCTCTGCTATACAAACTCAACTCATATGAGATCTGAAAAGCATAAGTAAAAGTAGAAAAATAGGGAGCACTAGTTGATGGAGCAAAACAAAGAAACAGAGAAAATGATTTGGAAATCTAGTTGAGTGACTTGAGCACTGAATGGTGCAAAGATTTTCCTCTAGCTCATCCAATGATTGGATATATTACTTAATCTCTCCAACCAGGCCTAAGCCAGAATCCCTGGTAGGAATTTTTAAAATATGGCCGACTTTAGCCCCGCCTAAGTTTCAAAATGAATCCTAGTTGTAAATATTGGTATATCAAAATAGATATTATACAGACTCCAACATAGAATTTTTCCTCGATATGAAAGTTCCTACCAACTAATGCTACTTCTGTTTTTATGAATATCAGTTTTTGTTTTCATGTGGATACCATCAAGTAATTGGTTAATAAAAAAATACTTCAAAGATTAAGCTGAGTTTGAGGAAAAGGTTAGGCGAATTCCAAGAAACCATTCATATGTTGCAACTTGAGCTCTATCTCATGCTTCTCAAATTACTTGTTGTATTAAAACTTGGAAGTTCCCAAAGTGAAAGCTAAATCTCAGGGAAAGTTTTTGAAGAACTGCAAGATTTAAATTTTTAAAGAACAGATGGTTGGTAGAACAGACTTCCTAAAAAGCTACACAGGAGTAATATCACCTTGCAGTGTAACCTTAAGGTTATGAATTCTTTCTTGGTCTTCTTTTTATTTCTAGGATGATAGTTCAAGTGTCACAACTGCTTGGCCTCTATTAGTATTCATGTCGGCAAATAGTCTTCACAACTACAACATTGAATTTGGAGGAACAGTGAAGTCGATACAAATATACAATGTCCTCTTCTTCAAACTCTGCAATTTGTGGTGCTTAAAAATCTTTTTTGTACAAGATCTATTGCTTTATCATCTTTATTGAATTCATCAACTTGTCTTACAATGTCTGCCAGCTGTTCTTGCTGTTCCACTTGTGGTGTTGCTAAATCTGAATTTACTTGTTGCTCTGCTTCATGCCATTCTTCACAAGATTCTTGACTTAATTCCTTTCAAATGCTAGAATAGGGTTAGCTGCATTGATTAAGATTAATTTCTACCATTCCAATCTTCTTCCGTCTTCTGTATTTGCTCTAAAATTCTTAGTAACTTTCAAATTGAACTTGATTAATGCATACTGTTACAATCATTGGATTAGCAGTCACGCTCAATACTTGTTTCCTAACAAGCACCAAGCATTTATTTTTACAAGTCATTAGAGATTCATGACCTCATCACATGAGAACATAGCATATGCGAGTCTATTTGAGTCACCACCATCTGAATGATGATCCTGCAATTGGGAGCATAAGAAATTTTTATCACCCTGAAATTTACATCTCTGATTCTTGACACTTAAAGAAACAACGATTTTAGGGACTATTCATGTAAAATATACAACAAAAAGACGTGTCCATAAACTTGCCGTTTCTTATTGAAGCTCTAAAAGTTACAGAAACCCAAAAGTGTCCTTGTTATTAAATTCAATTTTCGGTTAAAGTTTTAAGGTTCTTTAATTACCATTCACATACTAGCCCATTTTGTTTTACAGATGGGACATAATTGCAGAGAGATTGGGCTTCATGTTGGTGTTTGGAGACCTGGTCTGGATTCCTTTTACTTTCAGCATCCAGGCATGTGTCTGCGAGCTTGACATTTATGTGAAAAAACTTTCTTTGTTTCTTGTTGCACTGCAATCACTTTTGTACGATTGCTTAATCTAATAATGAAATGTAATGGTTCTGTTTTCATGGATGACTAATAAACACATCTTAGTCAGTCTCTCTGTTGTGTCAATCACTAGATGGCTATTGCATATTAACTAGGTACTGGAAAAAGATATTGCTATTTTTGTTGCGAGATCAGTTGAATGTTTTATAAATTCGTGTGTACTTATTTTATTGTTTTTCTAGTGATCTGCTCAACAACATTTTTAGCCTTATGGCCCATCTTTTTTTTTTTTTCTGCCTTTTCACTTGATGCATGTTTAACTCCTGCAAGATCAGTGGTAAATTTTATTATTGTGGTCTTCAATAACTAAGTCACACTTCCTAAGCCTGCTACTGCCATTTTAGGAGGTATGGCAAAGCCTATAAGAGATTCTAAGGATATCATTTAGTTTGTGTATTGTCAAATTTTCATAGGGTTGGTGGCTTCTGGGTAACAAAGTGGAGTTGACAACTGCTGCTGTTATAGCAAATTGCTTTGTTTTCCTGATTGGGTAACTTTCTGGCAATGCGTAGTTCATTCTTTGCAACTTCTATTCGACTTCTTTAAAATCATTAACTAACTTTACAGTTGTTCTGCATAAAACTGGGCAGGTATCTGGTATTTAGAGGAGCTAACAAGCAAAAGCATGTTTTCAAGAAGAACCCCAAAGCACTTATATGGGGTAAGCCACCAAAGGTTGTTGGGGGAAGCTGCTCGCTTCTGGTTATTGGTGAGATTTCAATTTGATAGTTTTCTTAATATCTTCATTATCTCGTATTGCCAAAATAACTGTTCCTTTTTTTTTTCCCTCTTTTTGATACTTTGGGGGAGAGGAGATTTGAACTTATAATGTCCTCTTCAGAGGAGAGGTGTGGCTACCAGTTAGGCTATGCCTCAACTCAAGTAGATAGATTATTATTACTAAAGTTTATATGAATACTCAAAAATTCAGTAATAGTTTGTTTAGTTACCTTTTTTTTTATGGAAAGTGTTGAGCGATAATTGACAATATCGAAATTAAATGTGGAAAAGGGAACAGTATGTGTTTTGATGTGGAACGGGTTTTTATACTTCTCATCAGTAAACCTTTCCTCGACAGATTCTCTACCAATTTTCTATATTTCTAGGACCAAGTATCAAATGGGCAAGTCTGGTTATTTTCTACCTTAAATGGCACTCAACAGACAGTTTTGGGGTGGGCAGTTTTCGGTCTAACCGAACTGATAATGTTCGATACATTTGGTTTGGTGTCTTTTGAGGATTCATGGTTCTATTGGATTTTGATAAAATGAAGTTTAGGAAGCATTGGTTGTTATATATATATATATATATATTAGTTCTTATGAACAATAGGTATATGGCATCATATATCTAAATATATATTATTTACCTATACCAGATTTATGTTGTATTTAATACAGCAAATATATATATATTAGAAAGGCCAAAAAAAAAAAAAAGAAAGAAAGAAATAATACACTTTGCTTCAGTTTAATTGGTATTTTTCTGAATATTCTTTGTAAAAATTTTGGTTTTGAGAAAAATTGATCCAATAAATAAATAAAAGAAAAACAGCCAAATGACGAGTTTTTTTAATGGTTATAATATATGCCTTCTATTCAAACACATCATGACAAACAAAAATGGCTACCATCCAATCTTAAGTTCGTCTTGCATTCCAGGTTGCTTTCCCTTCACTGCCCCTGCTTGCTGCTTATCATAATTAGGTTTTTTCCAGTTTTCATTTTGAAGACAGTATTCTCATTGTCTTAGAATGAGTGACGTCCCTTCCAATGCTGTACTCCAACTCCTGTCAGTTTACTGCATTATTGTTGTTGTCGAGGGGTCTGGGTGTAGGGTGGGCATGAAGCATAACATTTTCCATTGGTTCTGACAACAACATCCATGATGCTTCATGTCATGCATGTTCTTGATGTTTTGTGTATTGTGTTCAAGGGGGATCGCAAGGCATTGTAATTACCTGGGTGACCTGTTGTTGGCACTGTCCTTTAGCCTGCCTTGTGGAATAAGGTAATTTTCCGATTTCTTTATTTGAATCTCTACAGAATCACATGATTTAAAAGGAAACAACTTCCGACAAAAAACACTCACCTTTTTGCAGTTCTCCGGTTCCATACTTTTACCCGATTTATCTTCTTATCCTTCTAATATGGAGAGAAAGGAGAGATGAGGCCCGCTGTGCAGAGAAGTACAAAGAAATATGGGTGGAATACCGTAGACTTGTTCCATGGAGAATACTGCCATACTTTTACTGAGACGAAGGTTCTGCAATAGTTGCTGGAGAATTCTTTAAGTTTATGAGCAACCCTTTGGTTGGTGTTTGTATGTCTTGTGTACTTTGTAGGATTTATAGCAATCGATTTGGTGATCATTTTTCCGTTCGAAACGATCATCATAATTTTGTGTTTGTTCTGAAGATGAAGGGGGGCACTTTTCCAGGATTTGATTTGGTCTCACTGTTTTGATGCTGGAATTTGGGACTCAAAAAAATGAATCTTGGCCTACAGCAAAGCGGATGTATATCCTCCGTCGTTTTTTTCCGGTAAAAGCTAGAAAGAATTTTAGAGTCCTATTATTTTACAGTTTCACCAAAATTTTGACAGCATCAGATAGAAATTTTTGACCATTTCATAGATTATCAAAGATAACCTTCCTCTTGCTTGGTTTTCTGATTCGCTTTTACTTGTTATTAATCTTAAACCTCGGCCCACTCAATAATATTATACGACTAAATGGTGTGAACCTATCTTAAACTTTAACAGCTTGTTTGGTTGTCGATTTTTGAATTGATTTCAATTACTTAATTGTATTAAGTTGATTTGATTTGTTAATTCAATTCTTATGTTTGGAATACGTTTTAAAATTATGGAATTCATTTGAACTGAACTACCGACAATTTATTTACCTAACTTGTTCTCATCCCAAGATTCATTATTTTTGCAAGGCTAAATAGCTCAACTTCTTTTGAATTTTAACTCATTGAGTTCTTGAACTTCAGATTTAGTTTTTAAAATCTCTAAATTTTTTTATTTTTGATTTATTGTTCATTTTTTAGTTTTATGTCATTTATTCTAAAAAATAATACTCATGTAAATAATTTTATAGTGGAAATCATTTAGTAAGATGTATAAGAGGTTTTTCAAAAAAGCTAAGATCATTTTGGGTTATTTTTTATTTTTTATATTTTTAATGTTAAAAAATAAACATACATATATTTTTTTTAATTTTAAGATTTTTTTTTTAAAAAAAAGATTGAATTTTTCTCAATGCGTGTGTGCAAAATTTCATCTCAAAATACTAAAAATTGATTTTTTTTTTAAAAAAAAGATAATAGTTAAAAGTTATTGGACGAACTAAATTTAAGAATTTTGAAAATTAAACTTAAAATTTATAGATTTAATTTTAAACAAGTTAAAGTGTAGAGCGGGTTTAACTTATTTAGCCTTTGCCAAACTCTGCAAACTCCATGTTGACTAATCCATGTCCGTTGATGCTGCCACTTCTATGCAAGTCATTTTTTGTTATTTGGACTTTAACCTAACCACCAACTAATTTCTACATCCCAAGCCTCCACACCAAGCACTTCATCGGATTTTTATTTTTCATCCAACAAAATCAAAAGTAGCTTATCCTGCGATTTGGCTCTATCAAAAAGACAACTAATTACTACTAGCAACTTCATCATAAATAAAAAATAAAAATAAAAAAATCCAGGTTCAACATGGGTCTATCAGTGAAAATAGTCAATATACCAGTTGTCTTGAGATTCGAAAGCAAGCCAACAAAATTGACTCACTGAGACCATCTTTCCATTCTCCACCAGTAATCCGGTTGATATTTCACCGTATTTCTTCAACTCGTCTTATTTATAAGGTTGTGTGTTTTTTATTGCGAGTGTAAAGAAACAATGTTCGTCTTTTTGCACTGAGACAAGTGTTGAAGAAAAATACTTTTCCAAACAGATAAGAAAAGAAAACTACTATTTCAATTTTAAACCTTTTCTTAATTGAATATATCAATTTTTATTTTTTATTTTAGTATATTAATTTTTTTTGATGAAAGTGTTAATCATGTTTTTCCGTCTGATAATAATGTGGCAGTTAATAAAAAATTATTATTATTATTTAATTATTAATTAAAAAACAGAAAGCACAGCAGGTTAATTAAAAAAAGCTGCTTTGCTTTTTTTTTAATTAATTAATAATTAAACAATAATAACAATTTGAGAAAAGAAAAAAAGACAATATAATTATTTAGTCTTTTTTATTAATTGTCAAATCATTATTAGACGAAAAATTTGATAGAAAAATTTAATCGATATTTTTTAAAATATTAATATACTGAAAAAAAAATTAATATACTTAATTGAAAAAAAAATCAAAATTAATGCATCGATTATGTAATTTTTCGATAAGAAAAAGGAGAGAGAGATTTGGGAAGGTGGGTGATTTTGGGATAAAAATAGCAAATCGGACCCATAGGGAGGCGTGATTTACAATCGTACAGAAAAATCTTGATTTGATGGATTATAGAATTCGTATCTGTTGCTTTAAGCGTCCTAACGTGGATTTGGGTAAATGATGTTGAATTGATTTCATTTCAGCATTCAATTCCGTTGAAATCTGATGCTTTCAGACAAGAGGTAATTTATTTGAAAGTCTGTTTCTTTTTTCTTTTTTTTTTTAATTTTAAATTGGGTTTTTTTCAATTATTTTTTATTTAAAATTGAATTATCTTGTTAGGTTTTGTCCATCGTAATGGTATAAATATAATTTTTTAAATTAAAAAAATAACAAGACCTTACGAATGTTTTTCTTTTTTCTTTAAAACTTGTTTATGTCTTTCTAAAATGTTCTCTAATTGTTAATTTTTTTCAAATAAAAAAAGCTAAAAAAAGGACCAACATAAAATTAAAAGTTAAAAATTGATTTTTTAAATAACGTAATATATATATATATATATAAACTATAGACTATTTTATCGTATTACACGCTTTAGAAGAAGTTTTTATGAATAATTGAAAGCCAAACATATACGAATGGTAAAAACAATGCCAAAATTGTAATCATACAACAATGAATTAGTTATGCAAATAATCACTAGAAAATGGTTAATATAGATTAGAGGAATTCAGGTTCTTAAAATTAAGATTATTGGAGACAATTTGGTTGAATTCATAATTTGCACTTTGTGTTTTCATCAATTCATCAAAATAGTTATTCTATTATTAATTTAATCAATTGAACATTTGTATTTTTTATTTTAGTCAATTGAGTATAATTTACTTAAATTAAAAGAAAAATATTTTCTATACATATGTATCATTTGCTATTCAATTTTTTTTTTTTTATTGAGACCTTTTTCTTATTGAAACCTTGCATTTTTCATTTAGTTTTGCTTGACACTTTCTATAACAATGTCATTTATTGTTAATTCGACATGATACGTTATCGTTAATTCCAATTATAAATAGGTGACACATGGCATTATGGGTTTCATAACAAAACAAACCTATCTGTATTAAAAAAAAAAAACAATTAAACAATGAATTAATGTTTTTAAATAATAAAACAATACAAAGAAAAGAGTAGTTGAAAAGACCAATACCCCCTTCCCCAATTATTTTCAATTATGATTCTCTCTTTAGCTTTCTCTTATATCAAAATAGCTTTTTTGTTATTAATTTAGTCAATTGAGCATCTATTTTTTTTTATTCATTTTAATTTATTTAAATTGAAAAAAGAATTACCCAAGATGAAAGGTGGAATGGATAATGATACTAATAGAAATGAAAGAAAGTTGATAATAATAAACTATATAGTGAAAAAAAATACCCAATCGATCGAGATAGAATTTTAATATGATTAATATAAACTCAATTTATGTATTTTATATTCAATATTAAAAAAAAACGTTAATATAATTAAAAAAGTATAAAATTTATATTTTTTTAATAATAAACCTTATTTATATACACACATAGTACGGGAAATTAATTATTCAATACAGTTGTACTCTCTTCTCTGGTATAAAAATAAAAGCTTAAAAAAATCATATAATTACATGATAATAAATTTTGAATATATCTAATATTTTATCCAAACAATATCATGCAAAATAGATGCTTAGAATTGAAGTCAACATCATCCTCAAGTGAGTTTTAGAATTGCGGACGTGGAAAGATCATGCCCACCACCCAAATAAACTCAATGCTCAAACGTTGGACTGTTTGGGTGTAACATTAATTGTTTCCTACTTTACATTGGATGTTGAAGTAAAGGTGTCATTGTCATTATTATTATTTTATTATTTTTTGAGTTAACAAATAAATATAATAGATTTTTTTTCATGATTTATGCCATGCTGGAAAATTGGAAAATATGGGCAACTGGAGCTATAGAGGGTGTTTCGGTACAAAATTAAGCACTAATAACGATGAACACCACATCAACGTCATGAAACAGTTAAAGTGTACGATTTACAAATCCGTGTATGAAATTGAAAGATGCATGCATGCGTGTAAAGTGTAAATAATAAAACAACCGCTTTATTTTAACAACATCAAGAAACTAACTTTATGCATTGATATAATAATAATTACTAAAAGTTATTGTTAGGTTTTAAACTTTTTTAAGTCAAGTTGGTTGAAGTAAATTCTTATAAATTCCTCGATCTCCGTGCAAATAACTTATTTTATTCAGGTTAGAAAGATGTTTTAAATGAAATGATAAAGTTTATTAGATTTGCTGTGATACAAAAGTTCTTTTTATAAAAAAAAATATAAATTGAGAATTTTATAATTAATATACTAAGAATGATATTTATATGAGTTATAATCAATATAAAAATATTAATTGTGATTGCATAGAATAAATTTTTGAAAGGAATGGATAACAGCTTACAAAATCAAAAGAATAAAACTATTAATAGTGAATTCGTTACATAATTAAAGAAAAATTCATAAAAACTTATGAAAATGATCTAAAAGAATAATTCTTTAAATTGTAAAATTTTTTATGATATGACACAACGAATGTTATTGTCATGTAACTGATATTATAGCTACTCGTGCATGCTAAATAATCTATTATATTATAAAATAAAAAATGAGAAAAGATAAAAATCTTATTATGTACGGATGTTACGATATGTAACGGTCGATTTGTAAAACCATGATTGAAATTCTATCACAGTACAAAAACCAATGATTTTTAACCAATAATGAACTGCTTGTTCACTGTATATTACTAACACATTCAAATTCGAAAGTCCAAGCTAGAACGCCCCATCAAACGAGAATCATCAATAAATTTTGATTAAATGAATCTTTTTTTTTAATTTTAGTTTATTTAAAAATTAATTTTTAAACTTATAATTTCCGGTTTGATTTTTTTGAACTTTTTTTTTCACAGCTAGTTCACTTTTTAGTTTTTTTTTTCAAAAATAACGTTTATATAAATAATTTTATGATGAAAATTATTCGTGAGATATATTTAGGACTTTCAAAAATATTTAAAATAATTTCGAATTATTTTTATTTTTTATTTTTTATTAATATTTAGAAAATAAAAAAGTATACTTTATAATTTTGAAAAATTATGAATTTTTTAAAATAAATAAATTAAAGTTTTCTTAACCTGTGTGCAAAGTGTCATCATAAAACATTAAGAATCATTTTTTAAAAAAAAGTAATAATTAAAAATCATAAAGTAAATTAAATTTTAAAAATAAATAAAATTCAAAGGAGATCATATCGAAAAATCAAAATCTAAGAACTACTTTTCAAATCAACTAAATTTCAGCGTTTGGTCTATTTAGCCATAATTTTTTTTTCTTTGCATGCCACCAAAATGGTAATTTTAGATATCGTTCACAGACCCGGCATTAGTAAATCGTGCATCTTTTGTATCAACAACTGGGGGACCACTAACGGCGTCACTGACTGTCCTGTCAAGACTTGGAACTTGAGGAAAGAAGACAAACACTGTACCCATCTGGGTTTCATCGCCAACCCTAACGGCATGCTGACGGAATCTAAACTGAAAAATTAACAGACATCATATTTCGCGGTCTTCCTCGCTAAAAGTCAGAGTTGTGTTGCCACGTAAGTGTTTTTTGGGTTTCCATTTGCTCACGTGTTTCAGTCCATTTCTTGACGCTTGACACGCCGGGTCATGGGCCCCTTTTTATTTTTTTAATACAAAACGTACAGTAGCCCTTCATAAATTCACTAATGCTTCATTTTTATCCCTGTAATTTAAAATCTCACAATTTTCCTCTGTAGTTTTTACAAAAGTTTCAACTTCGCTCTTTTCTATAAACTCTCATCATATTCCCTCTATAGTTATAATAGTATCCTCCCTCTATAATATCTCACCCCAAAAAAAAAAAAAACGATGATGCCATTTTATGAGTTTTAATAACATTTCTACATAATAATAATAATAATAATATAAGTAATGAGTTATCATAGAGTGTTATTATAAACTCTTTCAATAGCATTATAAACGATCTAAATAAATATTTGGTGGTTAATTGTAACATTAAGGCTTCATTTGGTTGGCGTAAAACAACTTTCAATAGGAAAATCAATTTGTGAACACTATTTTTCAGGAAATTATTTTCTAGAAAAGTATTTTCTGACATTTGACAATTATAAAAAAAAATCGCTAAAAAATATATTTCAGTATTTATTTGATACAAAAAACTCGAAATATAAAAACAGATCGTGATTATTATATCAACGAGTTTTGAGTAACCTTCAAGAAGATATATTCATAACTTCACAATATAAAATATATTTAATAAATTTAATAAATTTTTATAAATAATGACCTTAAGATTTAAATTCAAAAATAAAATATATGTTTTTAATCATTAAACTAATTCATCAAAACAACCTCGAGACAAAATCAAGTCCATATTCACATTTAGTAAAAAAAAATTTCTAAGTGTATATTTTATTTATAAGGGTATTAAGAAACTATTAACAAACAAAGCCTAAAAGTTTTTGGGAATTTATAAGGGTATTAAGAAACTATTCAATATAGGGGTTGGAATGAAACATCCATGAAACTATAGGGACAAAAAGTTGAAGTTTAGTAGTTTACCCAACTTTAATTGGACGCTTTGGTCACCTCCTCTGTCTCGATCTGCATGTTTCGTATACCCAACAAATACACACGTATCTTTTTCAGCTATTTTCTAAACCTTGCAAGCCGCCAACATTATCCATTTACAAAAAATAATAATAAAAAAAAAATTTAAAAACAATGGAACAAAAGACAAAGGTGATTAAAATAAATGTGAACAAATAAATATTAAAATAAAGCTTGGATGCGTACCGGGAAAAGAAGTTATCAGTTAAAACAGCCCTACTTCTCTCCGTGTCTATAAAGACCTCTGGTCTTCGCGCTAGGTTCTCTTTTTTACCAATTCCCTCTCTCTCCGACCTGCTAAGTAACTCATTATTTTCTTGCCATCCAAGTGACTGAAACAGATCTCCGGCATTGACTCAATCCACAGGTATCTTTGCTTACTAAGGGGAATTTTTTAATGTAAATAATTAATATTTTTTTTTCTGTTATATTAGTCTAGCAACAGAAGAGAATAAAGTGGCATTATCTGTGGAGAAATGGTTTTTCTTTTTTCCTTTTTTCCTGATCTTGAACGGCTATTGATTTCTTCTTTAAATTCTTCCCAACAATACCCAACTACACTTTTTTTTAGTAGAAGCGTCCCACTTTATTATTTACAAGTATTTCAAAGCCCCATGTCTGTTGGAGAGATCTGCAGTTTATAAGCAGTGATTTGGAGCATTTTAAGGAACTGGGAAACTGGGTAGCATTGCTACTTGTGTTTTTAATCTGTAGATATTTGTTTATATTTTTATGTTTGTCTTTAATTGTTTTTTTTTTTGGGTCTAGCTAGCTCCAAAGAATGGGGGCAAACGGAGAAGGATTCTCCACAATTCACCTGAAGGGAATTCCGACTGAAGCCTGCTGAGCAAATTGAAGGCAGTTTTGCCTCAAAAGGAAGGGAGTACTGGAGGAATTAATGTTTGTGAAAATCAGCAATGGATGTCAGCAGGCAGAACCAGAAGGAGTCGTGGATTCCACAAACTCCTTCTAGGCATATCCTACCTGTGATCTACACAGACAGGCAGGGAAACCAGCTAGACGAAGCAAGTAGTTCAGAATTAAAGGGGTTACCTGGATTGGGTGAGTGTCGTCATCCCGCCGGTTGCAATTGGGCGGCTGCTATAAGTGCAGAAACGGGCAGCGGCAGTAATGGCGTCTTCAAAACATCCAGAGACTGCTCCATTGTTAATACAGCTACATGGAACATTATGTCTTTGGACGACCCGCTATTGGCTCTTGCAGATGCGGCTTCCAAGGAGCATCCCTCCCCTGGAACAAATCCATGGATTTCTGGAAACTACATCCAAGAACCCAATTGTAAGTATAACCAGGTTGGCTTTTGAAAAAACTCATTTCTGTATCCGCCTTGGCTTTTATTTCATTAAGGCAGTTCCCTCATGTGCATTTAGTTGACAAGTGCCTGCTGGATGTAGCAATAGAGATAGAGTTAGAGAAAATGACTATAAAAGCAAATGGAATTCATTCAGACATAAATAATATAATCAATCAATAGTGAAACACACAAAGGACACAGACGCTGCACAATGAACATGTCAACAATCTAGCATTGCTTCGTCGTACTCAAAACAACTTAAGGATTTGATTGCACGTAATTTTGTCCAGAAAAAAAATCAACTAGGATGTGGAAACAAGTTTCCTGTATCATTCCCAAGAGAAGTTTTAGTAATTTTAGTTTCTTCATCGATCTGGAAATAATTTTAGTCCATGAAATTTCTATTTTTCGTGAAACAGCTTATGGTGGTAATTTCTTTCAGGGGGAAGGCAAATGCATTCTCTGTCGAGACCACCTCCCAGTTTGCTCCTGTAACGCCAGACAAAGGCAAGAAAGTGGAGTCAAAAAAGATCACAGAAATGCAAAATTTACGAACATATGCAAGAAGAAATCAAGAATTTAGAGAGAATGGAATTGCTTGGGGGGCTGATGCCAGTGGCCTCCAAACTGACAAAGAACTTCAACAGCGAGCAACAAATTTGCCATTTGCTGTTGTGTCCCCTGTGTTAAAGGAGAATAACAACCCTGACAGGAGAGACAGCGATGTTATTGACCTGAACAGAACACCACAGCAGAAACCAAGGAGAAAAAAGCACAGGCCCAAGGTCCTCAACGAAGGCAAACCCAAAGGGCCACACAAATCAGCAACCCCAAAGTCTGCTGCTTCCACAGAAAACCCAACTGGTAAGAGAAAGTATGTTCGAAAGAAGGCGCTCAATAAAGCATCAACAAGTTCCCCAGCAGAAGAAAATGGAGAGTTTACTAATCCAAAGACAATTGAACCGGCCAAAAAGTCTTGCAGAAGGGCCTTAAATTTTGATATAGAAAGGCAGTCTCCAGATGGAAGCTCTAAATGCAGGCCACCTTTTGAATTAGATTCCCAACCAGAGGCACAAACCAGTGCAGCAAAAAATCAATCAAAATCAACAGTGTTTCTTGGCCATGGGATTGAAGTGATGGTGGAAACCTCACAAGCAGGCATCGCCTATGATCTTACCCGTTCTATAAATCAAATGCTTAAAAAGTACATATCATTGCCAGAAAAAGAAGCACCAAGCACGTCATTTCCTGCCCAGACTAGTCAGCGACAGAACAAACAGGATGGCAATTTACAAGAGAAAGGGGTAGACCAAGAGACTGCTCATAATGTACAGGAAAACGCTGTACAAATCACTCCAATAAGCCCTAATGGATCCAATTGCAGCACCAGAACAACTTTGACTGAGGAAGGACAAGCTGGCAGATCAAAGAGGAACCATTCTGACCAACAAGACACCTGCAGCACAAATCTAACTGGGATTCACTATAATTCTTTGCATGCTTACCAAAACATGCCTTCACTACTATTTCCGAAAAAAAAGAGGACGGAAAAGGGACAAACTTCAGCCACATCAAGCACATCATCCTCGGTGACTGCTGCAAAAGACATTGTGATAGTAGAAAACACATGCCCACGAAAGTATCCTGAAGGAGATCCTTTCACATCCAAAGTCAACTGTTTGATTTCTGCCCCTCGTCATAAGGGTAATGGACTTCCAGGCATGCACGTAGAAGAAAGAATAGATCTTGTGCATGAACTGCAAACTTTTGGCTGTACCATCAACCAGACAACAAGATCAACAAAAAAAAGATCCAGATGTCCTACTAAAATTCGGGACCTGGCTTCACTAACCAGAATTCCAGGGTGCACATTGCACCCAACTAACCCAAACAGACAAGTACCCGTGGATAGTAATAGGCAGAAAGTAGGAAACTCACACAGACCTCACATGAGTGTAGAAGCCCTGCTGGCACAGATGAATGGGACATGGACAACCAAAAAGAGGACCAAGAAGAGAGCTTCTCTGGTTAACTCTGGTTCCTACAGTATAAATGCGGCGCCATCTCATGGAAAAATCATCTTATATAATCAGAACAAATTCTCAGCCAAGTCTTTAGGTACTTGAAGCAAGAACTTCAAATTTAGAGCAAGCTCTATAAGAATTACTAGTACATATCATTTTTGAAACTTGAGGAACAGCAAAGTGCCTTTTTAACTTACACAGCTATTTAATGCAGGTGCTCATCCAGAAGAAATATGGAAACAAATGTTCTCTGTTGATTCAATAATCGAGCAATTAAAGCAACTCGACATCAAGAGAGAAAACAATGACATTGCATTTAAACAGCAGAATGCACTTGTCCATTATCATATTGCAAATGATATGCAGAATGCACTGGTCCTTTACAAAAAAGATGGAACCATTGTACCCTATCATGGTTCTTTTGGATCCATAAGGAAGCGACGCCCTCGCCCAAAGGTTGACCTAGATCAAGAAACTAATAGAGTTTGGAAGCTTCTAATGGGAAACATCAATAGTGAAGGCATTGATGGAACAGATGAAGAAAAGGCAAAGTGGTGGGAAGAAGAAAGGACAGTGTTCGGTGGACGGGCAAACTCATTTATAGCACGGATGCATCTTGTACAAGGTACCAATACAATTTTCTTAAATCGTCATCAGCCTTCTCAGCAGAAATTAGGCAATTACTGAATGTATAAAATATAAAGTACGTCGTTTCTACTGTCAACTAATGCTTAACAATAGTAAAAGAGTAAGCAAAGCACTGTTAGGAGTTCTTGTACCGTAAAAGTCTCAATGCCAAGGTTGATAATTTATAACAACTGGGGGCATCTTCAAATGAGATTTTTCTAACATCAAATTAAAGCCAGTCTATCTAGGATAAACTGGATAATCTAGAAAATTAAAAGATTCATAATATTGAGATAAAAAATTAATTAGGAAAAGAAAAGAACCAAGGTCATAAGCATGGAGCATTTTATATATCTTGATGAATGAAATCTAAGGTGTGCAATTAGCAATTTTTCGACCAGCATGATAAAGCGATGCTAGGCTGCAGCAAAAATAAGATTAGATAGTCCACTAGCAACATGGAGATCTTATCGAAATTGGGAAATTGTAAAAACGGACAGGAGACAAAACATATGCATAATTGAAATCCTAAACAAATTACCCTTGAAACCTCAGAAGTAATTCAGTGAGAAATTCCAGTTACATTTGTTTTATCACAAACTTTGAACTCATTTGATTTACTCTTGAACTCATGCTATATCAGTACAATATCAATTACACAGGGGACAGACGCTTCTCTCCATGGAAGGGATCAGTATTGGACTCAGTGATTGGAGTATTTCTTACTCAGAATGTCTCAGATCATCTCTCTAGGTAAAGTTGAGTTTCCAGGATAATTTTAATACAGTGCATGGTATGAGAAAAGGCAAAAAGAAAACCTCTTATACCATTAATTCATTTTCATGCAGTTCCGCATTTATGTCACTTGCCGCACGGTTTCCCCTCAAGTCAAAGAACAAGCCATGCTATGATGAGAGGACAAGCTCAGTAATTGAAAAACCAATAGTATTCATACCAGATTCAGAAGAGGGCATAAGATGGAACGAGATGTCAAATCAATCAATCTGTGACCAGAGTTCCATGACTGTCCATGACATTGAGCTTTATGAAGAGCAAGAGCTAGTCAACAGCAGTGAATCTTTTGGAAGTAGTACTGGCATTGTCACCTCTGAAACTGAACCACATACATTCAGTGAATCGATGGCTAGTAGATCAACCGCTGAGATCTCTATGACTGGAAGGGTAAGTTACATAGTAGAAGAAAGGACACAAATAACTGATGCAATTTCAAGTCAAAATTCAGTGATTTCTGGTCAAAATTCTGTGGATTCTCCAATTGCCCAAGCTTCTGAAAGAAAAGAATCATGCTCAGAGAACATCTCAGTAGAAGAAGATCTGACTGATGGATCGAAGATCAACAATTATAATGATTGTACATCTTTCATGGAGCTTCTGCGAAAGGTTGGATCTCCTATGCTGCAGGATGCTTACAGCCAAGGAAATGGCAAGATGGACAATTTGAATGATCATACAAGCCCCTTAGGAGAATCCATGGTCTCATCCAGTAATTGTCATTGGCATCTTACTTCTAACTCAGGAGCGCTGAAGTTTGACTGCTCTGATATGATCCCTGAAGAAACACAATACGGTGATATAACCAAAAACGAAAAAGAAAACGGTACGAAAGATCACAATGCCCATGCAGTGGAAACTGCCAGTCAAATTACTGATCAAAATAAGCTGACCTTGATCAACCTAGAAGCATCAAGATCTCCCACTTCAAATAATCTGTGCATCAATATTCAGAAAGACAAGCATAAGGGTGTCCAGTCTACAGCTATGTCAGTTGAAGACCCCAAATTCACTGACAATTCATTGGTTCAGGTGCAAAATAACTACATGCAGGAAAATCAATACTCACAAAACCTTTCAGGAGAAACCACACATATTGCTGGAAGTAACGGTGCATTCGATGGGCAGCAAAAGAATCTACAAAAAACAACTGAGTTTGAAATGATTGAGCTTGGTGATTCACAATGCAAGGAGCTTAAAGAGATGAATCCTGCTACCAGAAAAGCAAAAAGCAGAAGAGTTGGGAACGAAATAAGAGATGATGTTGACTGGGATGCCTTGAGAAAACAGGCAGAAGCAAATGGAAAGAGAGAGAGAGCAGCAAACACAATGGACTCACTGGACTGGGAAGCTGTAAGATGTGCAGATGTTAATGAGATTGCCAACACAATCAAAGAGCGTGGGATGAACAACATGCTTGCAGAACGCATAAAGGTATACATGTCACTGTACAATAACAAAGTTTTCTAAATGGTTACCCACCAAAGCTAAAGCCTATCTTAGTTGACAATGACTGAGAAATTCATGCAGAACTTGCTTAATCGACTGTTTAGAGAACATGGAAGCATTGATCTGGAATGGTTGAGAGATATTCCACCTGACAAAGCAAAGTAAGCTGGAAGGATTAACCATAAACCCTGCACCAGTTGATTGAATTAAAATACTACTCTGTTGCTAAGCATATGATACAATAATTGTAGTTTTATTATTATTATTATTATTTTGGTGGAAATAGTAAATGCAGTGTCTTGGTTTATAAAACAAGACAAAAAAGTATACTTAATTACAGCTTATCACTGCAGAGAGTATCTACTAAGCATTAGAGGATTGGGGCTGAAGAGTGTGGAGTGCGTGCGGCTTCTGACACTTCATCATCTAGCATTCCCAGTAAGCTTTACTCAGTTGGACATACATCAGAAACAAAATGAGATACGGATCTCAAATTTTGGCTATTAGAGATTTCTGCTCTTACTATTGCATAACAGGTTGACACAAATGTTGGACGCATAGCTGTACGACTGGGATGGGTCCCCCTTCAGCCACTGCCTGAATCACTTCAGCTGCATCTTCTAGAGCTGTTAGTATTATTAACTGAAAGACTGCTGATGCTAACTAAGTGCTTATGACACAATTACTAATGTGCTGATATGTAGGTATCCTGTGCTGGAATCAATTCAAAAACACCTCTGGCCTCGATTGTGCAAACTTGACCAAAGAACACTGTAAAAAAATTCCACTCGACATTAACTCAACTCATGAATAGACTTAATGTATAAATAGTCAAGTAATTATAAATAAAATTTACTAATTCATTGTTAATGCATAAACAGGTATGAGCTTCATTATCAGATGATCACGTTTGGAAAGGTGTGTTTCATATACGTTATTCTTGAAGTGATATGCTCTTCTTTGTGATTAATGAGAAGCTGAAGCTAAGGGAGCATTATTTGGGATCATGCAGGTATTCTGTACAAAAAGCAAACCAAATTGCAATGCATGCCCAATGAGAGGAGAATGCAGACATTTTGCAAGTGCATTTGCGAGGTTTGTATATAATTTGTTCCAATTCTTACGATGGCACTGCTGTGTGGTTAGATTGTTAGCAAATAAATGCAGGAATTAGTTCCATTAACCTACCACCATCTAGAACCCTCTTCATATTTGCATAAAAACTAGAGGTCACAATTTTAACTGGATCAACTAATTTACTGAAGTTACAAATGGTTTTGGATTAAGCAAATATTGTAGGTAAATTTACAAATTCCATTGAGAAACATGCCCTGAACAACATTTTCCCTTAAAATGTATGAAAAGTAAGATTCTTTAACTTATCATGAACTTCTTGAATGTAGTGCAAGGCTTGCCCTTCCAGGACCTGAAGAAAAAAGTATAGTGAGTGCAACCGAAAACCAAACTGGCCAAAACCCTGCTTTGAAGACTGATCAACTGCCCCTGCCCCTGCCTCTACTGCAAGCAACTAAACAATCAGAAGAAAGTCAACAGTCAGAAGCAAACAGCCTGGCAGAGAGCAAATCCAGAATCACTGGCTATGGACCTATCATTGAAGAACCATCATCACCAGAACCAGTGTCCCCACAAGTAACAGAAAACGATATGGAGGACACCTTCTGTGAGGATCCTGATGAAATTCCGACCATCAAACTTAACATTGAAGAATTCACTCAGACTTTACAGAACTATATGCAAGAGAATATGGAACTTCAAGAAGCTGATATGTCCAAGGCCTTAGTAGCTTTAACAGCAGAAGCTGCCTCCATTCCTGTTCCCAAGCTTAAGAATGTGAGTCGGTTACGAACGGAGCACCAGGTGTAAGTAGCAACCTCCTCGCTAAAACTGTTTTCTTATAGATACAGTACTATTTGTTGTGAGTGGTTGATATAGTACAAGTTAGCTTAAGAAGTAAATGTCATCGGCCCCATACAAAACTTTTAGCTTTTTCTAAAGGGAACCCAAAAGAAAACATAATAAAAATCTCGCCATTCAGCATTGAGGCCAAATGCTTTTCAGTACGTTTCATGTTAGCCGTGCTAAAAATAGGCAAATATCTCTCGCCAAAACTAGAAGGTAAAATCTTCTAGTATGTTCTAATTTTGTCTCTTTCACCATTATGCAGATACGAACTTCCAGATTCTCACCCTCTTCTGCAAGGGGTTAGTTAATCCTGTATCTACTTCAACAGCAATGTTAATTGAAATGTGCCCACGTAGCCAAACTTCATTCCTAATTATGTGTTTTGCTTTTGAATCAGTTGGATAAGCGAGAACCTGATGATCCATGCTCATACCTTCTTGCTATATGGACACCAGGTAAGTAAATAACAAAGAGAAACTGCTATGATATATTCCTTTCTGCATAGTAGTAAATGAGCTGAGCTGCAGACAGACTATTCAGGTTCTCTTAGGATAAACTCAAGAAATCAAGCAAGTCATGTCAGAACCCTGTGAGCTCCTTTTAGGAAAAGGATTTGAGTCCAAGCTTTGCAAGGCTAAAAGCTCGGAAGCATGACTTGCTTCTTGATACCAAGTTACGATTAAAATGCACATATAAGTTTGAATTCTCACATCCTTGGATGTGGGATTCATTATTTGAGAACAAAAACAATGGTCAACAGAAAGAAAAGAAAATCTACAACAAGCAATCCATTCAGTCGATAATATTTTCCTTCAACAATCATGGTCAAGCCCAGCATAAAAAAAGAATGGCCTATTTAAATCAGTCCAACGACGATCCCACTTTTAAGAGAAATGTGAAATTTGTAAGGTCTTGCACAAAAAAGAAAAAAGAAAAAAAAAGTAAAAGATGATGGATTGTGGAGCTGCATTCAGTGTATTCCAATCTGTGTCTTAGGCTTTTCAACTGAGGCAAGCAGGCCTCTTTGGATGACCATTAACCTTTCCTCCTTCCCTTTTCTTTTACAATTTTTTCATAAAGACCAAAGATAAGAGGTTAGGGTGCATGTGGCTTTGCTTGTTCAAGCCATGTGGCAAGCTCAAGCTTGGCTCATTTGTCACTGAATAGACTACTAGGAAGCTAAGTATGAGCTCACGTTTCAGGGTTTGTGCCAAAATCAAGAAAGCTCTTCCAATTGTGGGAGAAGAATACATGAACAGTCCAACAACTCAACTCAGCTCAATTGAACACACTATGCATTTTCCATTATAACATGAGCATACATTATAGGTTTGCAAGATGCATGCGGAGTTCAATGGCATGTTCATATGGGCAAAATTTGGATATGTCTAGGCTATAGTTCTGTAGTCATCTGATCAATTATAAAATTGCCCACATTAGGTGAAACAGCTAACTCCATTCAACCACCGGAAAGTAGATGCAGCTCACAAGAATGTGGCAGATTGTGTGATGAGAAAACGTGTTTTTCATGCAACAACATACGGGAAGCAAATTCTCAAATTGTTCGAGGGACACTCTTGGTAAGAATAAGCATACCACTATTACCATTATAATTGTACTCTTAGACAAACTTAGTAATGGTTGGAATCAATAGAAATTAAATACTAACCAATTGCTCTAACATGTCAAAAACAGATACCATGTCGAACAGCAATGAGGGGAAGCTTTCCCCTCAATGGCACATATTTTCAAGTTAATGAGGTAATCAGCTACCAAGACTCCTTCAAGCGATATAAAAGCATCTTTCGAGTTTTTGCAGTTTAGATAATGTTAATGACATGTTTTAGATAATCTTAATGACATGTTCTTCATGCAGGTATTTGCTGACCATGATTCTAGTCTAAATCCAATTGATGTTCCTAGAGCATGGATATGGAACCTGCCCAGACGAACTGTGTACTTTGGAACCTCCATACCAACAATATTCAAAGGTATATATAGTAATGTTGTTCTGACATGAAATTAATAAATGGCATTCACGCTCTAATTTTGATCTATCAGGTTTGACAACAGAAGGTATTCAACATTGTTTCTGGAGAGGTAAGTAAAAATGTGAATTCTTCCTTCCTTATAACTAGCTGCTTCATTCAAAATTAGCCATTAGTTCTGCAATTGTTACTTTAGGTACACGTGCATTCTTTTATTGAAAAAGTAATGGCAGACATGGTAACATAAATAAGCTTTATTTCATCCCAAATGCTTCTTCGCTTTTCATACTTGGGGACACAGGGGCACCAGATCACCTGGGGAACAACTGATTTGGTGGTCCAGCAAAGAAAGCAAACCAATCTAGCAGCAAAACCAGAGAGAGAGAGAGAGGAGAAAAAGAGCAAATCAATAAAAGCCTACCGTACAAAACCAAAGGGGTAAATTAATATGACCCAACCCTTTTGTAATACTATAAGGGATGGATTAATCACTAAGATGGAATCATCCCCTAAACCAGCCAGAGTCTTAGGTTCATACAAGGAAAGAGTCCGATGAATGACAAGTTCTAAACAGAAAGTAAAATAATTGAAGTAAATGCAAAATCCTTGTTTAAGGACTTCTTCATTAACTTTTAGATTGATTAGAAAAATAAATAAAATACTAATAGTTAACGCACAAAATCCTGAGATGAAACAGGATCCTTGTGCTGAACACTAAGCGGCAATAGGTTCTGAGAATATCTCCTCCAAAAACTGATATGTTTCTCATGATGCTTTTCTAGTTGGTCAATGAAACCATTAGATCAAGACTTATGATGTTTCAATTTCTGCACTTGACATCTGACAATTTAAAAATGCTTGAGGTGGCACATGGACTTCACCTATAGATGCAATATCAAGCTGGTTATAGTTTCTCATCTGGTTTAGGGATTCAGTCACATTGAGCCGTGCAGTTCAAAAACGGCAATTATGTCCTTGAGATCATGATGTAAGATGAATGCACACGGAAAATGCAGAGAGACAAATCTACTAACAGTAGAATGATGAATTTACATGCAGCTCTGAAGAACATCTAAAAATTGCACCCTTATCCCTTACGCGGAGACATACACATAGGTCTATCTTTCTTTCTGCAGGAAATGCATGTTACCATTGATTTCTCTTAAGGCTAAACAATATAAAAATGTTCCAAAAATTCATTTGTGATTTATTGCAATTCCCTTTTTTGTGGATTTCACTTTAATATTGCTCACTCCCTGTTTGTTTAAAAAATTTGAGAATTGCAGGATATGTTTGCGTGAGGGGATTTGACCAGAAGACACGAGCACCGCGACCACTGATAGCCAGATTGCATTTTCCAGCTAGCAAATTAACCCAGACAAAAAAAAGTGGTACGGGTGGTCAGTAGATAATAACAATCATAATTATCTGCACCACAACCAGAATGTCGGATGACCATGTTGAGCAACAATAACCAGCTGCAACACATTTACACTATTCATAGAACAAGGTGAAATATCCAGTTTATGTTGTATACCGTAACGTAAAGTGCATTTGTTATTGACAAGGTAATTTCTTCTCGGAAATATGCTTGTATTCAAGCATTCTTCGGCTTATATCACCAACATGTTAATTAACGCTAACATAGTCGCTATGCTCGCCTGTACAAAACAAGCCTACGAGGAAAGCTTGCAAAATCCATATAACTGGGACTAAGAACAGAAGATTACTAAAAGTTCTGGAACATCTTCAGAGCGTTTCCAAGAGAAAACTAGAACAAGGAAGATATAACAAGATTTGGGCATAGCTTACTGATCATGTTTTGCAGAGCCGTCCAAGCATCCATCAAAAGGCACGCTCCATTGTAAGATGCATGGCTGAGATTGCCTTGCACGTCAAACAAATATTTGGTTAACAAAATCCTATCATTTGCATACCAAAAAAGAACAAGAAAACCGTAAGAACTGCAGCACCCACCTTTCTTTTCAAATCTAGAGGAAAGAAATGTGAGGAAGACGGAGACAGACAATTAGCAGGAACGATAGATGAGATCCCACGGATTGTGACTCTAATTTGGTTCAAGGATCAAGAGAACTTGACGGTTCAGATTCGAGAAACAGGAGAGCAAAGGGTGAAAATGCAGCAGCTTCAGCTCTAGCCGCCTTAGCGCCCTTTTCATCTTCACTTTCCCTCCTAAACTGATCTTTTGCTGTTAACTATGTGACGAGCATTGGGCCCTTGGTGGATTTGACGGACGGGTCCGTAGCGGATTCATCAGACCGGACGCGCATTAGTAGCTGTGAGCCTTTGGCAAGTACTGTGGCTGTCGTGGCTGTAAATTGTTAAAACGTATTTATGTCATGTGAGATTTAAAAATTTTTAAAACTATATTTTATAACATAGGATTTACTTTTTTAATTTTCAAATGGTTTTTAAGATGGTTTCATAACTTAATCAAACGCTTTTTTTTTTTATCGAGCTTTGGAAAAAAATTCAAAAAGTATTTAGTAAAACACTAAAAGATATAATATTTTTATTATTTATTTACTGTTTATTTACTATAGTATTAGACAATGCATTCTGTTGAGATAAAGACGACGCGTCGTCTTTTTTTCTTTTTCTTTTTTCCTCTCTTTTGCCAAGCCAAGCCAATCGGGTCTACTTCTGCAGGCCTAGATTAGCAAGCCTGCATCTGAAGAGCCAAGCGCAGACCTAGCTTTGGTTTTCTCTTTTTTTCAACAATTTTTTATTGTTTTTTATTATTGATTTTGCGCAAAATTTATTAAAAAAAAAAAAACAATACTTTTTTTTCACACAGCCTCAAGGTGAAAAAATATGATTTTTTTATTTGTACTTTCTTTTTTTAAAATTTAACATAATTTCTTTAAATTGCCGTTTTCATGGAAACATTCAATTAAAATTTTTAATTTATTATATTTCATATGATTTTATTTGTTAACAAAATATGATTTATTTTCTCTATGTATGGATTTTTGAATAAAATTTTAGAATGTAATTTTTTGCTTTTTAAAAATATTTTAATATAATTTATATATTGGATGTTTTGATTTTGAAAATGTATTTTTTTCCTTTGCATGTTTTTAATTAATTTTTTAATAAAATAATCTTTTAAAATAACCAATCAATAATTCAAGTATGGTTTTTAATGCTATGGTATTGATTATTTTATGATTGAATATATATATATATATAAACCAAATTTATATGCTTTCAAAAAATAATATTTCATCGGTAATAAATAAGAAGAAGAAATTATTTTTTATTTGTTAATTTTAAACAAGCTTTTATATTAATTGTATATACCTTTATTTTTTTTATACAACCTTGTGGAAGCAATATTAGGTTTTCTAAAAAAAAAAATTGCATTTGATTTTTCTATTTATATCGTTGCAAGTTTTTATTTACGACTTAATGCACATAAAATAAAAAATCATGTTTTTTTCAATTAAAAATTTATGAAAAACATAAGGAATAATCAATAAAATACAATATTTTGATTAAAAAGTTATTAAAATTTTTTAACCTTTAATTGGGTATATTTTAAAAGACTCATAGCATAACATAGAGTGTTAAATTGAGATAAGTCAATTATGCTCGACACATAGCGTAGCGCATGGAATAAAATAGTAAGTTATTAAACAAGGACATTGGATATTTTGTTTCGTTTGTGTTGTCATAAAGTGTGTTTTTTTTTTTTACTTTTTTTATTTGCCCATTATCATAATTTAAAAAAAAGAATCAGCATAGTTTACTTTTTAGTCAAAGAAAAAATTTCTTCATATCCGAATCTTGTACTTTTCGATTTTTTTAATTGATACCATCTCGCTTTTTTCTTTTTAGCTTGATTGAGACTTTATATTTTTCTCTCGTGTCTAGCTTCGAATACCTCTCATTCTCGCCTAGGGATGGCAATGGGGCGGGGCGGGGCGAGGATCACCATCCCCATCCCCACCTCACCCCCGAAAATTTCACCTCATCCCCGCCCCGTGCTGCGAACGGGGCAATATTTGTCATACCATCCTCATTCCAAACAAGGACGGGGATCTCTCGCAAGGCACCAAGCGAGGTAAATGAGGTAAAAAAATTATTAATTTTTTTTATCTCGTCTTGTTTCATTCTACTACCAATTTCAATCTATAGTAAAAAAAATATATATTTATAATTCATATAGAAAATAAATCCTAAAAGTCACTAACCACATATTTTATACATGATATAATTATAATTTTAGGGATGAAAATCATGAAATGGCCCAAACGGGACAAGGCGGGCAAATACCATCCCTAGCCTAACCTTGTTCACGAGATGCCCCACCTCGCTCCCCAATCAACGCGGGAAATCCTCGCGTTGGCCGGGCCAAAACGAGGCGAGGCTCCATCGGAGCGGGGCAAATTGCCATCCTTATCCCCGCTTGCTTTGTTTGGCTAAAAAGTCTTGATCGTAAAGATCATTGAGATTCATTTGGATCGATTCTTTCTTAAAATCTTTCTTTTCGAGTTTTTCACGTCCTTTGATAGTATGTGAGTTCTACTTTTCCCTTTCCATTGAATGCACTAACCATGGAGCCGCACTCATGAGCTAGAGAGCAAGACAAAATGAAAGGCCCGAATTAGGAAATATTTCGTCGACGACTACCCATCCGTTAGTCTCACTAAAGGAAGCATGCATGAGTGGTCGATAGAAGATGAAAGATAAAGAAAGGTGACCCTATCGAAAGAAGTCGAACGATCAAGCATCTTGAGCACTAGATCATATTTGTTGCTTCAAATCCTCCGATACAACGCTATCAACTATTCATTCAATGTGATACATGATCATTAGAAGCCGCTAATCAGCAATCGATACATGACATTGTGAATTCCAAATTGCAATATTTCTATCCAACATAAAAAATAGATAAATTAATTAATAATAAAACAACAGAGAAGACAGATTCGCACGTTCATAATTCTTTAATTGCCTCCAAATTCTTTCATTGTTTTCTTTGTCACTTGTTGTCCAAAACTATTTCACTTGACACCAAGTTTCAGCTTGTGTTTTTTCCATTAGAAAACCGAAAGTCCACCAAATACCAATTCTTAAACTAATTCCAACAACGATATGTGAATCTTTCTATCGTTTCTTGAATTTATCAATAATGAATTGTTGTCTTAAAACCAATAAGGAACCTTCAAAACTTTAATAACAACAACAATTTCAAGTAAGATCCGAATCTTCGAAGCTAACCAAGTCACCGCCTCTTTTACTCTACCAACAAGAAATAGTCAAAGAAATCCTCTCTAAAACTCCTATACCAAAACCACAACAAAATCTCGTCAAGAATCCACATCAAGAAAATTATCTATAACGTTGAGAAGGAAAAATTCTACATACATCCATCTTTTCTCGATAAGATAAAAATTCAAGAAAACAAGTTTAAGAAAATCTAAAAAGAAATAAGTAGTTCATTGTCAAGATCAAATCTTTGAATAAGATGAATGCGAAGTTATTTGGGGGTATAAGATGGGGACAAATTTGTTTTTTTCATTAATTTCTTAATTTTGAGTATTGTTTTATTATTAAAAATATTTTTAATTTTTTATTTTAGACAAAAATACCATCGGTTGAGACACGTGATAATACTTGTCGATTGTTTATTGATGACTTATAAGAATAACATATCATGTCAGATGAATAACAATGACCATATAAGGAAAAGTATGAAGCAACAAAAATTAAAGAGTTGAAAATTTCAATTAAGGTAAAAGGAAAGCAGAAGGTTTTTTTTAATTGAAGAGTACGGTATTCAAATAAAGAGAAAACCCCAAAAAACAAAGCATAAGGTTGCAATTGAATTTCAGATCCAAAAACAAGGACAAATTGAGGTATCTCGCAAGACGAAGTCAAACAAAGCAAACCAAAGCAAGTGCGTTAAACCACGGTGTACCAGTCACAAAAGCATGGCGCGTGTAGTCACGTTATCTCCCCATTCATTGATGCCAAAAAGTTAAAAACAGAAAAATCCCAATCAACATTCTGCGACCATCACCAACGTGAGATGGGAACAAAATATCCTTTTCTTTTCAAATTACAAGCAAGCACCCGTAAAGTAAACAAACAAACATTAATAATAAAATAAAGAGAAAACCTCATTATAACCCCCAAGTATATATAGTTTCCCAAATGAATCCCTTACCAATTCTATCAAATGGATCTACCATCTATATATTTTTCCTCGATCTGAATCTTTTTTGCTCCCATAACCGGAGAAGACATTAAACAATACACATGTTAGTTATGTATTTTACCAATCATAATTTTCTCAAGTTTTCAAATGCATAAATATCATTCTTTCTCCTCATTCAACATGTGCAAAGGTACTTGTGCAGTTGAAGTATAAATTTTTCCAGTTATGTTTTATTTTGTCCTAATCTATTTAAAATTTAAAACAATTGTCGAGTATTTTCACACATAAGATGTGAAAAGAATGGTGTGAAAAGAACGGAGTACATTGAAAACACATGACTAGGATGTTTATTATTCATTGTCATCTCCATTTTATTTCATAAAATTATCCAATTGAGGAAAAGATATATAGAAATGTTTTTTTATTTTTTTGATAAATTGTTAGTTGGGGACTGAAATTAAGAAACAATGCATAGTTGGGTGGACTGACTTGAAGTTCTCCCGAAAATAAGTAAATGATAACAACAGCAACAATAATAATTTATTTATTAGTAAAAAAGAAAAAACTAAAAAACAAAATCCCACAGCATGTTACGATTACGCCACCAAATAAATCTCGCCGCTTTCCTTTCTCTCTCCGACAATGGAATTCTAGAGAGAGAAAATTTGAAAAAAAATAAAATAGAAAAAACAAGTTCAGGTTCAGCTCACCCATACCAGATTTTGAAGTCAGTCTCTCTCTCTAAAGATGGCGGTTTTTACTCTTTTTTAACCTCAAAAGAAAAGAAGGAAAATACAAAAAAAAAAAAAAAAAATCTCCATGGAAATGCTAGGTCGAAGATCCAACTACACTCTCCTTAGCCAGCAGGCAGACGAGCAACAGCAAGCACCGCCAGCATACTACGAGGCCTCTCTCTCAGGTGACTCAAAAAACAACAAACTAACAACAAAGCAAGAGAGAAGCTTCTTGGATTGGGAGCCTGATCATCGAGTAATAGCAAATCAGCAGCAAGGAAACAGTAATCGAATTGGTTTGTATTCATCATCAGCAGCGATCGGATTGCAAAGGCAATCGAGTGGCAGTAGTTTCGGTGAGAGTTCCTTATCGGGAGAGTATTACCCGCCGACGACTCTGTCAACGGGCGGAGGAAATGAGATTGATCAGGCTTTTGGGTACGAGGATGGGAATTTTATGAGGGCAGCGGCCAGACCTTCTGTGGATGTATTTGCCAATGGATCGTCGGGGAAGAGTTGGGCGCAGCAAACCGAGGAAAGCTATCAGTTACAGTTGGCTTTGGCTTTGAGATTGTCGTCCGAGGCCACCTGTGCTGATGATCCAAATTTTCTGGATCCAGTTCCGGATGAATCAGCCTTGCGCTCCTCTACCTGTAACTCGCCAGAGGCTTTGTCTCATCGGTTTTGGGTATGCTTGTTTTAAGTTTGTTATGAATTTATTGCATGCCTGCCTGCAAATTCATGCTGAGGATAATGTATGGATGATGGATAATGCTAGAGACACTTGATTGTTTTACTAAATGACGTGGCAGCACAAATTCAGTTGTTAATACATTCTATGATCATCATTGCATTGAAATTAATGTAGTTGATAACTAATGGTTGAAATCTATTATAAATGATCATGCATTGAAAATGAACTAATACTATGAAAGCTAGAGGTTAGAATATGACGAAGACAAGAGCTGTTGTTTGAGATAATTTGGGGAAGAATGATGTTTAACAGTTTGTTGTCTGTTCATAACAAAAAGCTTAAAGTTCAGTGGTTGTCTATTGTGAACCCGGATAAAAATTCCTTTCTTAATTAGGCATGCTGCAATTTTTTTTTTTTGGCTCTAGGTGGATGATTGCGTGTAGTTGCCCTCTTTTAGTCTCACCAGTTCTTCTCAATCTGCATCTCTAGATTGAACTTGTGACAAGGAACCATATTTAAGCTTGTAGGAGCTAAGTAGACAACCGTTATCACTTTGCAGTGGTTCTTACTGTAGTCCAAGTAGGTTTCTTCTAGCTTTTGCTTTTGGTGGATTGAAACTCCGATGTAGAATTATATCTTACCAGTGAGGGAAGCCAAGATTGTCTTCATTTTAGCTGCTATGCCTATTCTTCACTCTAGGATGGATGGATGGAACGCAGATGGATGATATTGTGGGCCCCATAGACATATATGGGAAAATGAAAGAGAGGAAAGAGAGAGAAATTGGTTCCATTTATGAATGGGGTCTATTGCTGCTATTCTACTACCAACTTAAACCTTAACCAATAGGCAAAAGCGTCAGAGTTGGTGTAATTTATTAAACCAAAGCATCTTATTCATTGTTTCTGTGTCATGCTTTGTGGATTAGCATAGTCATTTTCCATGTGCATATGGGTGCACTGGAGGCTGAATGAGGTCATGGGTTCAAATTTTTTAGCAGATTAGTTTTGTTAGGAGCCTTAGGTGTGTGAGTTAAAAAAAAAAATGGACGTGGATGTATGGTCCAAATTTCGAAACTGTCCTTCCACTCACTGGTGGGTTGACGTAGTTGCATTTATCCTAGCCTAATAATATTTTGTACACGCCAGTTCATCTTAGTTTAGCAAGTGACAGGTCAAATAGTCCCAGTTCCACTTCTTATTTGGTTCCTCTAGCATAATAATAAACCTTGCTTATTGGCATTCATGTTAAAAGATGCACCTTATCAGTGTAATGTACATCAGGTGAATGGTTGCTTATCGTACTTTGACAAAATTCCCGATGGATTTTACCTAATTTACGGAATGGATCCATATGTGTGGACTGTGTGCACCGATTTGCAAGAGAATGGTCGTATTCCATCAATTGAATCACTAAAGTCTGTTGATCCCAATGCTGATTCTTCAATGGAAGTGGTTTTGATTGATTGCCGTAGTGATCCGAGCTTAAAGGAACTTCAAAATAGGGTCCATGGCATTTCTTGTAACTGTATAACAACAAAAGAAGTAGTTGATCAGCTGGCAAAGCTTGTTTGCAATCGGATGGGGTGAGTTTCAGTTTTTATTCGTGCAAAATTCTAACAGGTAGTTTTATACAATACTTTGTTAATAATGTTTTTATTGGTACCATAAGGGGGGCAGCCAGCGGAGGTGAAGATGATTTCATTTCCATCTGGAAGGAATGCAGTAATGATCTCAAAGATTGCTTAGGATCTGTTGTGGTTCCAATAGGCAGCCTATCCATCGGTCTATGTAGACACAGAGCTTTACTATTCAAGGCAAGGTCTTCCATATTTTCGTGCAATGATTTCTGTCTTTGGTTTCAACAGTTAACTAGTTGTTTATTTGCAACTTTTATGTCAGTTGCTGTGTTTTAAAATTTATCCCAAGTATAATGAAGAATATTTCTTAACCTCCTTACTAAAGATTTCTGATTGTGGATCTGTTGTTTGTATGTTTTTCTTGGTAGCAGAAAAGGATTGATGCTAACTTGTATGATTGATGTAGGTGTTAGCTGACTCTATTGATTTACCGTGTCGAATTGCGAAGGGTTGCAAATATTGTAAAAGAGATGATGCTTCCTCCTGTCTTGTTCGGTTCGGGCTTGACAGGTATTTTTTTTCCCTTTTTGGTGGTCATAGAGGTGCCTTTTTGTTATGATGTATGCCGGTTCAACAGTTTATTTAACATAGTTCGGTTGGTTTAAGTGTGAAATTAAATTAATCCTGGTTTATGCAGAGTTATTGTCATCCTCTCATCATTGTAGATTTTTCCTCTGCTTTCTTGTGAATACAACATCCCTTCTTCTGGGATCTATTCTACTGCTCATCCCTAATTACATGTTAAGAACAATGGAGTAAATCTTTTTAAGATTGACAAAAGCAGAAACATCACATACATATTCAATGTAATTGATATGTCATGTAAAGCTCTTTATATCAAGAAATGTTAAATTCCAGTTGCTAGTTGATTATTGTGGATTTTCTCTCCTTATTTCTTCTTTCGGGTTCTTCAATTCCATCATTTTCTTAATGATGCAGTCAAGATCTTCTTGGGAGTCTGGGCTCTGGGTACTGCATGTTTCATCCTTGTAGCTGCTAGTTGTGAGCAACATCTGACAAAGTATATTTAATTTATTTCAGGGAGTATCTAGTTGACTTAGTTGGGACGCCTGGTTGTTTATGCGAGCCCGATTCCTTGCTCAATGGTCCTTCTTCCATCTCAATTTCTTCACCATTGCGCTTTCCTCGAATCAAATCAGCTGAACCTACCGTTGATTTCAGGTCATTGGCCAAACAATATTTCTTGGACTGCCAATCACTTAATCTTGTATTTGATGATGCTTCAGCAGGTAAATATTTTAAAAAGCAGCTGTATAAACTACAAAAGTTCATATTTCTGTGACTTGTCTCTCGATGTGATTATTCGGCGTCAGCATGCAATTTTTATTATCTGCTTGCACTGAGGAGGGTTTCATCCATGTTTGCCAATGGCTCAAGTTATATGCTCTTAACTGCAAGCTTGAATTAATTGCCCAAAGCAATTGTTTTATAAGAAGTCATTACTTGGATTTATATATATTTTTATTCCTGATATCTTAGTTTCTTGCTAAACTTGTAATTGGTTGACAAATTTGCTTCAGAGCATTGTGTCCATGTAGGAGGCAACTCAAATGCAATAAATACTTAAAAACCATTATTAGAAGGTTCTGTACCCATGGAGAAATTATTAAGTGAACAGTGGTTCACCACATGAGACTATGGACCCACCAACTATGGGAGGACATAAGAATAGGTTCGCCTTGCAGGATTAGTTATGCATCTGTCAAACCTTCGGTAATCTACTTTACTGTGGGCAAATTCCCTGCTTATCCTATATATCCCATTGTTGCAAGACTGTATAGGTCTGCGTTCAGTCTCCTGCCATTTATTTATTTTGCTTGCTACTCTACAAATAGGTCAAGATTTTTTTTTATAGCTTCATATTATCAGTTTGATGATCAGCCTGCCTTAACGTCTCTGTAACTTAGATAGCAACAGACCTGGAAGATGGTTGTGTGGTATAATAACACTATCTCTTCTCACAACTCATTTTGGAGAAAAAGCCGTGATCTTGGTTGATAATCCAACCACTTTTGGAAGCACAGAAAGCCATGTTGACATCTCTTATGTGTATTTAAGAGACCTCTTTTACTAAAAAGTTAAATTAGGTTTCTTTCAAATTTCTCTCTCAAAATGTATTTTAGCATGATAACTTGAATGCTTCAGCAGTGTTAATCTGTCATTTAAACAAATGGGTGGTTTGGTATGAATAATCTAGTTTGGGTTTGACAGAGTACAAAAATAATTTAATGTAGTTATAGCTCAACTGGCATTGATGTCCTCCCTTCCCCAGAGTATCGAGTTAACCTCTCCCTTGTTAAAAAAAAAAAAAAAAAAAAAAAAAAAGGAACAACCAAGCTCATGGTTTGGTTAGTTGGAAGTCTTTGCAAGAGTAAATTGTAAAAGGTCCCCAACCCTGAACTAGTTGTGAAAGTAGAGTAACAAATAGTGGGTGCTATTAGACCTTGAGCAAAATTGGGTACTTAATCAAGTCATTTTGTTAAGTAAATTGGTTTCCATCCAATTGGGTTAAGTAAAACACGTGAGAGACATGTGTGACTTGTCCTAATTGGATGAAACTTAATTTTACTTAACAAAAGGACCTGATTAAAATCCCCAATTTTGTTCAGGGACTAATTGCACTAAAAATTTGTCTAGGGATTATCTTTACTTTGATCAATAGCCAGGAGGACTGGACACTTTCTTATGATGGCTTTTAGGTATTTATATTTCCACATTATTGCTGTTAGTTCTTGTCTTCTTCTGTTTTTTCAATCCAATTACATTCTTCTTAAAATCATTTTGATTTCTTTGTTTCCATTACCCATATGTGATGTATGATATACTGACCGCCAAATCTACTAAACTTTGGTAAAATTTCTCCCTCTGCTAGTACTATACACGTCTAATTGTTGAATTCCCATGCGAAACTGGAATTTGATTTTGATGTTTCCATGTTTCTATGTAACCCAAAGTGTAAATTGGGCTATTGCAGAAGTTGATGCTTCTATTAGTTTTCCATGTAGAAAAGAAAATTCTGACGTTTCCTTTCCTGTTGACTGCTGTCATTGCAGGTACTGTTCATGATGGTGAAGGTCCTGGATTTTCCATGTATCCTAAACAAATTGACAGGACAGGCTTAGAAAGAAATAACCCCGTACAACTCTCGAATAACAGCAACGAAATTTCTCAGTTACCTAAGCCACCGAAATTTAGCCGGATGACCGGCCAAGATAGAAATGCCCAACTTTTTAAATTGTATAATCCTTCCCAGAATGCGAAACAATCAATTAACGTGGTCAGAGATCCAATCCCGTTAAAGCAAATTCCACCAGTTGTGCATAGAGACATCCAGACAGTTATATCATTGTCTGATCAAAGCGTTGATGCCAGTAAAGATTCAATGTTTTCTGACGGTATTCAACTGGCTTCTGGTAAAACAAATAAAGAACTGTCACTTTATGTGGAGGATTTGGATATTCCTTGGAGTGATCTTGTTTTAAAAGAGAGAATTGGAGCAGGTATTTTTTCTTGATAGAATTGGAATAGAAAACATGCCATGGTATATTATCATAGCATCCATGTTTCTCTCATGCTATTATGCTGTTGGCTCCGATTTTCCTGTGGAGTGCACTTATGATGTGAATCGGGGTATTTTCAGGTTCTTTTGGAACTGTCCATCGTGCTGATTGGCATGGCTCGGTAAGCTTTTAACATTTGTTTATACAGTTACATCATGATAGAAATGGCGAAGACATATTTTGCACTCCAATTTCTTCTCTGGTTTGTGAATGTCTCAATCTGTGGTTGTAGTGTAGGATCTTTTTAATTCATTTGGGGGTGAACATTTTAAGAACGATTTTTTGCCTGACCACTTGATGGCATCTGAAGCAATATGAAAACTTAAGCTATATGGGACAACATTCAATATCGGTCAAATCCAAGTTCAAAAAGACAAACCATATTTTGGCCTCCAGGATGACATTTTGTTTCATGTCAGCCTCAGGATGCTAGTCAGAAAGTTTGAGTAGAAGTTTATTATTTGCTTTTCCTTTTATCTCACCATAGTATCTGAAGGACTACAACAGTCACCGGATCAGAAAGTTCTGCAAGGTGCAGCTATGGTATTATGTTCAAACAATATTGCATCCTTGAGTTCTTGTTGTTGGGACTGCAATCAACATACCTAGGAGTATTATCATTCTTATATTGCCAAGAAAAACCTATCCTTTATCTCATTCCAATTTTTTTTCCTTGCTTATTTTTTGCTGCATTACTATAATTCTTGCATTTGACCATAGAAGGATGCACATTTATATATGTAGTCATTTTTTTTATTTTGGATATTCAGATATTGTTTACGTTCTCCTTTGATTGAGTTTTCTTGAAGTCTATTTTAAATTAATATTTTACGATCCAATCAGTTGTGCAGAATCTTGAATATGAATGTGTTAATTGCAGGATGTTGCTGTGAAAATTCTCATGGAGCAAGAATTTCATGCTGAACGCTTCAAGGAATTTCTGAGGGAGGTGTGTTTTATCTAGAATTGTGTGATGTGCACTAAGCTCAAGAAAAAATGATTTTATTTCTTGGTTTGTATTTGATCTGTGAAGCTTCTTATCTTTTGTTCAGGTTGCAATAATGAAACGCTTGCGGCATCCAAATATAGTTCTTTTTATGGGTGCAGTTACTCAGCCCCCAAACTTATCCATAGTGACAGAATATTTATCAAGGTTCTGTGATGTCATCTTAGAAATGCCCCTTGTATTTCTTGTATAATGTGGATTTTAGAGTTAAACCATTGTTTGCTTCACTTGTATGATTGTAAACTTTATAACTTTTGAAGTGAAACAAAATAAATATTTTGGTTTGCACTGCAGGGGTAGCTTGTATAGGCTTTTGCATAAGTCAGGTGCAAAAGAGGCATTGGATGAAAGGCGCCGGTTGAGTATGGCTTATGATGTGGTATGCATTTAAAAACTTTACGTTTTTCATAACCCCTTCCTTTCTGTATCTAAACTTGTTATGGGCTTTCATAATATCTCCTTTGTCTGGGATAGCTAATTGAGTTGCCATTGTTGTTCGCAGGCAAAGGGTATGAATTATCTTCACAAACGTAATCCTCCCATTGTCCATAGAGATCTAAAATCTCCTAACCTTTTGGTTGACAAAAAATATACAGTGAAGGTAAGGCTTGTAGATCCTTGCATCTAGCAGAAAGACTACCAATTTCCCATTTTAGGAGTATTGAGGAACTCTGTTGCCTTTTGCAATCATGAATTTTAATCTGTAAGACATGATGCTTTGGTGTGCTTTGAAGAATATACAGTTAAATAACTGGATCTAGCTAGTTCACAGTTATCTTTTTCCCTACATGTTTAGATGTTATCATGTCCTGGTATTGCTGTTCGCTATATTTTTGCTTTGACTATTTCCGGGTTTCTCTCGTAGATGGAAGTCAACCTGTTCAGGATGGTTAATTGTCTTGCTTGTGGGATGTTTCACATTGGCAATGCTTTGGGAAATTTTGATCAAATTATGAACCAGTTTCAATTCAACATGAAGTGTTGATGTCGTATAGTGCATGATGAAGTTGCAAATCTTAGCACAGTGAAGAGAGTATTAGTATCTCATAGTGCTAACTGAATTTCTTTAGTAGATCTAAGGGTTATTGTGTTATTATTTTATGCCTTGATTGGAGAGATGTGATTCTGTTAACAAGTGAACATGTTTATGGAGAAAAATTTGATCGGCATCTCTTATTTATTTATTTTTTCTTTGGTAAGAATAGCTTTGTGTATGAGTGTGTTCTGTGGCCTCCAAATGTAGTTTCTTTCCTTTTTTTTTTTCTCTCGCTCCTGTGAGATTTCAGTTTTTCATTCAATTACTTCTTTTACTTTGTTACATGTCCTTACCTTTGGCTCACTTTGTCTGATCCATGCAGGTTTGTGATTTTGGGCTTTCTCGTTTGAAAGCAAACACATTTCTTTCATCAAAGTCAGCAGCAGGGACTGTAAGTGCAGTTAAACTTTAAAACAACATGACTGGATCTTTGTTTTAAGGTGGCATGGGACACTCTTTATCAAAATATGAGCTTAACAATACTTCTTCCAATTGATTAGCCTGAGTGGATGGCACCTGAAGTTCTTCGTGATGAACCATCAAATGAGAAGTCTGACATATACAGCTTTGGCATAATCTTGTGGGAGCTAGCAACATTGCGGCAACCTTGGAGCAATTTAAATCCAGCACAGGTTTGTATTATGAAGTTGCACATTTGATTTGGAAATGATAGAATGAATGGACTAAGATTATTTTGTGTTGGCAATTTAGCTTATTCTGCAATTAGGATTAAGAGAAACCTTGGGAGTCGATATTGAGTGCTATTAGATGAGAGACAATATCCCATAAGGAGATGGCTACATTAATAATAAGTATGGTTGGAACTATAAATGGACACCGGCCTCTCTAATTTATGGGATACCCATATCGTGTTTGTCCTTTCCTGATAAGATCCTCAGTTGGAGAGTTGCTTTCTGATGCTCACTGTTATACCTAAATACCCAGTACAAAAGTAGTGCCTTTCCTTTCACATTCCTGGGATTTAGCTGAAGTTTTATGTTCATCAGAAATGGGTGCGACCTATTTTTAAGGTTTCCTGCACCTCCAGGCTTAGCAATGGGCTAAATAGGGACCAGTTCTGCTGCTTGAGGGTTTTAGCAGCTGCTTGTCTGCTTTTATTAAAGCTTTTAGGAGCCAGGTTGACTGCATGTGTGTGGTAATTGTAGTTGTTTCATTTTATTTTAGTATTGCAAGTGGCTGCAAGCCAATATATCCTTCATTTGATTTTAGTTTTTGTGGTGTTCTACCAGTTCTGCTGTGTATCGTTCACTTATGTCTGCACTTCTATGTGTGATGATGTTTTTATGCCTGCATTCATCTTTTATTTCTTTTTTGTTGGTCGATTCAAGTTTGGTTCCTTGTTCCTTTGTGTTTTTGCGATCAATGGTGAGAATACATTGTTTGAAATCGATTACAAGGCATAAGATTATGGATATGGATACTATCTTGTAGGTTGTGGCAGCTGTTGGTTTCAAGGGCAAAAGGCTTGAGATTCCACGGGATTTAAATCCTCAAGTGGCTGCTTTAATTGAGGCATGCTGGGCCAAGTAAGTTCAAAGTTCTGGCTTCATATTACAACTGTTTCAGTTGTATGAACTATTTTTACCTCAATTGTTTTTATTTATACCAATGGTTTCCTACAGTGAACCATGGAAACGACCTTCGTTTGCCAGTATCATGGAATCTTTGAGGTCATTGATTAAACTTCCCGCACCCCAACCTGGTCGTGCAGACATGACTTTGCTTGCCTAAAGGATTGGAACACCAGCAGTCTTCTTTGTGCACATAATACCGTATTCTTTTGAGACTTGATGTCTGACAGGAAAATCCACTGTCCAGATATTCTCAGGTGCGATCCAGTTTGATGAACAAACATTGTGTGATGCTTGCATCTAAATTTTGAGGAGATATCACCAGGTTTTGTTGGGAAATTAAGAAAAACTTGAAATTCTTTTATAGCAACTCATTCTTAACCACTAAGTTCGCATCTTCACTTGTGCGAACTACATGCAATTAATGATGCAATTAATGATGCATTGGCATTTGTTTCTTAATTGGATCCCTAGTGTGTAGGTTTTTTACTAGTTCTAATATTACATTTTTTATTGACTTGAATTGCTGAAGTTGGTATATTCAAGATGCTGATGACCGTCTTTATTTGCTTCTCTGCAGAATCATAGTTGTACATTTCTGATCCCTTAAACAATTGGGAATTCTGAATTTTAGCACAACTAAGGAACTGGACCCATATTCGCATTACCTTTTCTGCTGTGACGAATACTGTTTGCCTATGGTGGGGAAATTGTATACTGTCTCATAATTTTGCATGTAAATTCTGTGACTTAAATTAGCTTAATGAGAAGTAGCTTCATCGGCATAGCACATCATTTGGGCATGAGTTTCATAAGAATCCACTTTGTTCCAATTACCAAATGGCAAGGCAATGTTTAGTTGCTATCAAATTCCATTTTTTCACCCCACATTGCCCAAACAGGTAAACAATACAGTGAAACAAAGTGAGAGAGATCCGATGGGGGAGTTTTTTTTTCAACAGTTGCTTTGTGAAAGAATAGTTTTAGGGATTTCTTTTAGAGGGAGAAAGAGGTGTTCAATTGGACTGCTTGAGATGTTAACTCCGTTAAATGTTTATACAATCAAAACCCAGCCAATTCAATTGACCAGTCCAAGCTCCATCTTTATCCTTACACTTAGGTCTGCCAGCCAACTATTGACCTGTCCAAGCTCCATCGTAATCCTTGCAGGTAAAACTGTCAGCGGGTGAGATTTGTATATAATCATAATATATTTGAATTTGATTTGTTAAATAAACAGATTGAACCGGACTTGTGAATTCAAATCGAGTTTTGTGATTGTCGATTTTGGATTTAGATCCTGTTAGATTTGGATTGGATTTGAACATGTATCATACAGATTATATATCAAATTAATTAATTGTATTTGAGTTTGATTGTATCAGGATTAATCATTGACAACCCTAAATATGCATAGTAAAGGAAATAAAAATGATGTTTTAGAAATCATTTGTGTGTGTATACATCACCAGCTAGGGTTATAAATTGATGGAATTTGATTTGAATCCGATGTAATTAAATGTATCTAGTAAATTTTTTTTTTAATATTTGAATCCAATTATGATCCAAATTTGTTAACTTGTTTATTAAATGGATTGAATTTGAATTTACTTTGATTCAATCCGATAATATTTCAATTCGAAATTAATAATAATATTTTTGTAATAAATATAAATTTTTTAAAAATAGTATAAATATAAAATTAGGTTGAAATTTAGAGTTTATTTATTATAAAATTTAAATAACGCATATCTTTCAATAATAATGATTGTATTTTCAAAAAATTAAATATAAATGTTGTCATTTTCTTAATTCAATTTTGTGAAAAAAAATTATAAATTGACTTATATACATTTTCAAGACTTTGTGTTATTATATTTGTCATCACTCTATTTTTGCTGTCACATGGACAAGAAATAAAAATTATTTATTATTTTTTTCTTTTAGTTTTATTATATTGTTTATAGAGTTCAAAATAAATTTTTATTAAGATTATTTGATTTTGTACTTTTAAATTATGTGATATTTTTTTACAAAATTGATGAATAAAATATTATTTTAATATATTTTACTATACATGCAGTGATTGAAATATATTTTAAATTCTAGCAATATATGAAGCGTAATAATCATAATTGTTTTTATAAAAATCAAGTGATAAATCGAATAAAGCTTCGAATTTGATCTAAGTTTGTTAGAATTCGGATTTAATTTTATATTTTCAAAACTTGATCTGATCCATTTTGTTAAATATATTATGATTTGATCTGAGTTTGATTCATTAACAATCCTATTAACAGCTAGCTAATAGCTTAATTATGATGAGTTTTTTTAATGGAAAACAAAAACTGTTGATGGTTTCCTTTCGTTGAAGAAAAAAATTAAATGCTTCGCTTGTCAAATTGAATTTTCTTCTTCTTCTTCTTTTTTCCGTTTTTGGGACCAAACATGCCAAATTGAATTCAATCTCTATTCGTAGTGAGGACAGAACTTAAAATTTAATGACCAATGAGTTAGCTTCGACACGAAGCATTTATGACCGGCCCCACCACCCTTTCAAATTCAAACAACCAATCAAAACCCGAAACCAAAGACCTGAAAAATATCTAGTCCCGTAGTGGGCTGGCCCAAGTGTCTCCTTACAAGCCAGAAAACCACCAAAATGGAAAGATGGTATTCTTCATTAATTAAAACCAGCAACTGGCAACTAGCAACTGGCGTAACTGGTTTGCATAACGGTCAGGGATGTGCGTCCAAAGCAATAAATAACAGCAGGACCAGTACCTGACAAAAAATTATGGTCGGGATAGGAAAAGCAAACCCCAGTGGAATTGGATTAAAATAATAAAATAATAATGTCTGGGAAAACTGTAGCCGGGGCCGTGGAAGAAGAACTGAACCTTCACCGACTTTCTGGAAGATTTTTTATCGAACAGTTTGTCGGCGATACTCAAACTATATATATCTGGGTATTCGATCTTTGCTCGTTATGTTCAAATCTCATCTTTCAAATTTCACGCGTTTTCTGTCAAAAACCCAAGAGTAATGAACCCAGAAGAGGAAGATAAATGCCCAAAATCACCTCACGAATATTCTTCATTAATGGATGTTCAACAGTTTCCTTCCGGGTCGATGTTCATGGATGATTTAAGCTTCTCTGCAGCTGCATCTTCACCTTTAATGGACTTGGAAGCTTTCTCCGATGCAAACCCAACTACAAATACAACTACAACTCATCCAATATCTTCATCAACAACTACCAACGAGTTTGAGGAGGAGGAGGAAAAGGAGATGCCACGCCCTCTTGCTTGCTTACAAGAGAATCCAATTCCGCCTTTTCTCTCGAAAACATATGATCTGGTGGACGATAGGTTGCTGGATCCAATAATTTCGTGGGGTTCCAAGGGGGAGAGCTTCGTGGTGTGGGACCCTGTGGAGTTCTCCAGGCTTGTTCTCCCTCGGAATTTTAAGCACAACAATTTCTCCAGTTTTGTCCGACAACTCAACACTTATGTGGGTATCTTGTTTTATTTTTTTGTTTACTAGGCCTCTATTTGGCTGCTGTGATATATAATTTCTTTCTTCTTTTTTTTTGAGTTGATGCTTCAATTGTGGATATTGGTTTTGACAGTCTTATCTTTTGTAGATGTAGGTGATGAAGAAATTTTGTTTTTGTACGCCCTGGGAATGAAATGTATGTATTTATGTGGAGTAGGTAATAATATCTGTCTGAGGTTTCTGAAAAATTCAGTTTGTATAAGATTGTTATGTAAGGGAAGGATTGATTCATTGTATGTATAGCTTTGCTGTTCTCTCTGTCCATATCACTAATGAAATACAGGTGGACTTTTGTAATGCTACATGCATCTTTGATTAATGTAATGTTTGGGGCTCTAGGCTGAAGCAGAATGATAGCTAGTGAAGTAGGATTGTTGTTTTATGTAATATACCAGGTAGATTTAGGAAAATGATGAAAGGTTCTGCATTCGGCTGATATTTAACCCCGAGGTTTTCTTCTTCCTACTGCCAACAAATGGACATTCTTCCCCTCCTAAGCATTTATTGGAGCGGGGAGCTGCTTGCATCTTGTGCAGGTAGAATTTCAGGTTCATATATTGTTGTTTGCCAGTTTGTTAATACTCTCTGTTTTCTCATTTGTGAACTATCTATCTAATAGAATCAGCTATTGCTTGCTTATGAAAATTGACAACTTCGAATTCTCTGCATGAAGCACATATCTATTATGCCAATAATTGTATCCATATCTTGTTTTACATGGACTTTGTTTCTTCTTTATTCATTCTTGAGTTGCTTTGGGTCCTATATTCAGGGGTTCCGCAAGATTGATACTGATAGGTGGGAGTTTGCCAACGAATCTTTCAGAAGAGGAGAGAAGCATCTGCTGAAGAACATCCATAGGCGCAAATCATCACAGTTGCAGCAGATTAGGAGCCACACAGGGTCTTTTACTGAAGCAGGGAGGTCTGGATTGGAAAGCGAGGTTGAAAGATTAAGGAGGGAGCGGAGTATGATGATGCAGGAGGTTATAGAACTGCAGCGGGAGCAGTCTGGGTCTGTTCACCATATGCAATCAGTAAATCACAGGCTTCAGGCAGCAGAGCAACGGCAGACGCAGATGGTTTCCTTCTTTGCAAAGTTGTTTCAGAATCCAGCATTCTTAGCCCGTCTCAAGCAAAAGAAGGAACAGGGAGAGATTGGTTCATCAAGGATGAAGAGGAAGTTTGTTAAGCACCAGCAACTCGAACCCACCCAATCTGAATCATCTATGGAAGGGGAGATTGTGAGATACATGCCTGATTGGAGAAACATCACATTACCTTCTGTGGTCCCTGATACAAACCCAGTTCCTATTGACCAATCTACTGATTATGTCTCACAAGGCATGGTAGGCACGGGTCTAGGCAGTGAAGCAATGCCATTACTTGAAATTGTTCCACCAGGTGAAGTAGCCATCTCAGACGAATTAGGAGTGGGACAAGGATTTATCAAATCACCAGAGCAGGTCGGAGAAGGGTCATTTGATCCCAGACTCAAAGGAAAGATTGCTATGAGCCCGGAAAATGAGGTTGGTCTTGAATATTTTGTCTCTTTTCCTGAGGATTTGGGGATGGAGAAAAGTTTTCCAGAATCGTCTTCCCCTGGTATTGAAAGTATTGTTAAACAAGAGGACGCATGGAGTTTGGCATTTAACACCAGTGCTGGTATGTCTAGTTCTAGCAATGTTTCTTGGAATAATCTTGTCAGATATGATGTGCCAGACTTCGGATCAACAGGTGGATTCTCGGATATCTGGGATATAGGTTCTGTGCAAGCAGGAGGAGGTTTGGACATGGATAAGTGGCTGGCTGATGAAAATCCTGTTGATGAGTCTGATGGTCAAGCTGGCCAACCAAAAGATGATAAATAAAAGAATATAGATCTACTGGGCTTCATCTGCATCAGCTCTCGTGGCTCCTGTAACATAGTTTTTAGGTCATAGGGTCTAGTAATTAGACATCTTTCATAAATATTATTTGGTTGAGAACCAAATTTCATTCTTTTAAGATCCACAGATTTCATTCTTTATAATATTCGTTAGCTTCTTTTATTAGGCAATTCTCGTCCATCCATATTCTGTTATTGACTTGAATTAGGTCAGTGTTGCATATTTGCAGTTCTTGCTAATGGTACTTTTTTGAGTTATAAACATTGCAGGTGCCACCAGAGACAGAGCATTACACTCCTGTTGGGTTGATTATATTCTTGAACATCCTGGTAAGTTTTGGTAATTTGGTTATCTTCTTGTAGAGTGTGTGTGTGTGTGTAGTTTCATTGTTAATGGTTTGTGTTTTGACCCTGTAGTTTGGTCATGTGTGCTTGGTTATCTGCATCTTCAAAATATTTATTCTGTCCTGCATGCATTCTCTTTGCACTGTAGATTTTGCCCTTGCATTCTTGTGAACGCGACCTCCCTTCTTTTGGAATCTATTCCACAGCTCTTCCGATATTACTTGTTAAGAACATTGGTGAAAATCATGTCAAGTTTGACAAAAACAGAACACCACATCCAATTAACACCTTGTTTGAAGCTAAACGGAGTTCTTTATGTCAAGAAACGATAAATCCCAGATACCAATTTATTGCTGTGGTTTATTCTCTCCTCCTTTCTTTCTACGGGTGCTTCAACTGGATTGTTTTTTTTTTAAATGATGCAGTCCAGATCTTTTTGGCAGTCCGGGGCTTTGGGCACTGCATGTTTCGTACTTACAGCTGCTAGTTGTGAGTAAAACTGACAAAAATATGTTTAATTCATTTCAGGGAGTATCTAGTTGACTTAGTAGGGACGCCGTCAAGCCTGATTCCTTGCTCAATGGTCCTCCTTCCATCTCAAGTTTTTCACCATTGCACTTTCCTCGAATCAAAGCAGCTGAACCTACTGCAGATTTCAGGTCATGTGCCAAACAATATTTCTTAAACTGCCAATCGCTTAATCCTGTATTTGATGATGCTTAAGCAGGTAAATATTTTAAAAGCAGCTTTATAAACTACAAGTCCATATTTATGTGATCTGTTTTATAAATATCTGGCTTCAACATGCAATTTTTAATATCTACTTGCATGAATCAGTGTGTGGTCTGTGTCTGGCAGGTGAAGCCCCAAGAATGGTTTTATATTAACTCTTACCCTGACTTTTAGGATTTAGATTTGGAGATAGCTGATTGATGGCATAAATACCTGGAACGTTGAAACGACATTAACATAAGATTTGGGATCAAAGTTACTATAGTAATGTTAAAATGCATGCTTGCTTGTGCTAAGGTTGATTGCTAATTGTCAACTACTTGTTTTGGGAAATGTTTGTTCAAAGGATCAGTGCGGTCTTTTGATCCCATGTTTGTTATGGTTCTGGCAGGAATGGTCCCGGAGACCTGTGTTGCTAACTTCAATTTGTTTACCAACAGATTGTGAAGCAGTCTTGGCATAAATTTGATGAATTCCAGATGCTGTGTATGTGTTTTATCAGCACAAATATTCTTGGAACTTTGATGAAGGATTTTTTATGAGATGTGGGATTTTATTTAGAGCTAGTAGTTTTTCGGCTGCAGTACGTAGTTGGTCGGACAAAATCAAATTATTTCAGTTTGATATCCCATATAATGTTGTGGATCTTTTAAGAAAAAAAATCTAATAATTTTTTGATCAAAACCTTGTATTTAATTGGTTATTTTTTATATTTTTCATAAATTTTCAATTGAAATAAATAGAAATTGTTATTTTGTATGTATTGATTTTTAAATAAAAATTTGCGGCAACCTAAATAGAAAATTGAATCTAGAATTTTTAAAAGAACTTAATTTTTTTTTCCAATAAGGTTGTATGAAAAAAAAATACAATTAATATAAAAACTTGTTTAAAAATTAATGTTTTTCTTTTTACTCAATAATGATGAGAAGATTGTTTGTTTATATATATATTCAATCATAAAATAATTAATAATATAGAATTGGAAAGTATATTTGAATAATTAGGTGGTTATTTTCGTAAAAAATATATTTTAATTATTTTATTCCAAGGAAACTAATTTTAAAATATCTAAAAGAAAAAAAATACATTTTCTAATTTTTAGATTATATATATTATATGTTCTATTCAAAACTTCTAACATATGAATTATATTAATTTGTTTTAAAAAAATCATGTTTTAAAATTTTATTCAAAAAAATCATACATGAAGAAAATTAAATTATATTTTTCTTAACAAATAAAATTATATAAAAAATTAATTGGCTGCTTTTATAAAAAATAACAAATCAAAGAAATCATTTTAAATTTTGAAAGCAAAAAATAAAAAATTACGAATCGAAAAAATCATTTTTCTTCATCATCAGGCTGTATAAAAAAAAAATTCATCATAAAATTTGCACAAAATCTGTAATAGCCCGTCCAAAAAAATAAAAAAATAAAAAAGCCGGGCAACTTGTCTAAAAAGAGGGCTGTCTCTATTTTCTCTTATTTCTTCCTTTCTTCTCGTTCCTTTTTCACCAAAAAAATTCTCTCTACTCTCTGTAATTTTATTCTCTATTTTTCTACTAAAATCTTGGCTAAATACTCTAAAAAATCATGAAACCAGATGATTGAAGTAAAACCTAATTAGATTAAAGTTTGAGAGTTTTGCGGGATTTTAAGGTTGAAATTAGAGTTTGAAGAGTCATATGTCAAATATGAGATTTTTGCTATTTACTCTTAAGTTTAAGATGTTTATATGAATTTATTGATGATTTTGGAATTTTTTTGTATTGGGTAGGTTGTTTAAATAAAAATTTAAGCTAGGTCGGGTAATGTTTGAATTGAATTTGAGAATTTAATGATTCAATAATTATTTATTCTTAAATTTAAGATGTTTATATTAATTTATTGATGATTTTGGAATTCTTTTGTATTGGGTTAGTTGTCCGAATAAAAATTTGAGCTAGGTTAGGATTAGAGTTTGAATTGAATTTGAGAATTTGATGATTTAATAATTGTTTATGTTAATTGATGTTTGAAATGTGATAATGATGATGTGAAATTGATTATTAAACTATAAATTTGATAAATCACTAAGTTAGTTGAGACGATGGATTGTAAAGGTAAGTTGTGAAAATTGAATTAAAAAATGAGGATAGATTGTAGAGACAAATGTCTGAAAATTGAATAATTAGTTTTAGCAAGGTGTAAATTGAATTGTCGGATAAGAAATATAGAATGAACTTGAGATATAGTTGTCGGGTAATTATTTAAAATTGGTTGAGAAAGTAAAAGTCTAGTTAAAAATCTTCAATTTGAGTCTTTTTGATAAATTTCATTATTGTAATTTGTTTTATATTTTGATTTTAAAATAATTCATTTGCTTTCGAATTATCTTTCGATGTGTGATATTAATGATTATTCGGTTATTTTGCATTGTTAGATTCTTTAGAGTGAACAATTTCATCTCATTAACCTTGACTACGCTTGATTGTCCGATTGCATTGTGAATGAATAATATATATCATGTCATTTTTTTTATAAAAAAATTTCTTTGATATCTCTAACATACATCATTAATTTAAATATGTCATAATTATGTATATTAGAACTTAGACGGGATAGACTCCTTGCAAAATTTTGACACGATTTGCTATCGAAAATGATTTAATATGATTCGATTAAGAATTGATTGTGTGTTTTTAATGAGTATTTTCCTTAAAAATTGATTTAATTTTGCGAATTCAATTACTTGTTTTGATTAAGATTCTTAATTATGATTTTACTCATATAATTTAAGTAGATATTTTTCTTTATAATTTTGAATGTGAGTTTGGATTTTAGCTTAAATTGTAATTATGAGATTTGATATTGAATTTTATTGTTGAATTTGATGTCGGCATGAATTGTATTTGAATATGTTAGTTTTTTATATTTTTGAAATATATGTAAATTTATTTGATTTTCGATTTATTTGACTATCATGAGGTATCTAGCTACGGGGGACGTAGCTTGTGAGCTCACCGATACGAAAATGTTCTACCTAGTAGGAGAGGTACGGTGTTAGTCCGTGTTGGCCAACATACGGGATATCTAGCTACAAAAGGCATGGTATTTGGACGTTCACATCTAATGATATGATATGGCTCGATCACCTTTCATGTATATTTCAATGCTTGATATAATTTGAGTTGATTATAAGTATTTTGATATGAGATTCGATTCGATTTTGAACGATTTGAGAATATGAATTGCGATTTGATATTTAAAATATGTATTTAATTCCGAGAAACATGCATTGCATCTTGAGCATGTTTTAAATTATCGTCTATTGGTTTGTTTTCCGTCCTTATTTATGTTATATATGTTATCTACTCATTGAGTTGTTATTTTGTTCGCACTCTACCATTTTAGTTTTACGGGATTTGTGAGATTGTATATTGACTTCCTTAATACTTGTTTGTCTTGAAATCGACATATTTTTCTTGTGCCTCATTTAATTGTAATATTTTAAATAAATATTTTGAGATTGTTTTATACTCTAGAACTTTATAGTTATATTTGTAAGAGTTGTATAGTTGTTATGGAATTAAGAAGTATTGATTAATTAGATTTGTGATTTTGGAAATTAGATGTGATGTGATATTTAGATATCTATAGGTCTTATAGCTATGATTTAGATATATGAGGCTTGCTTGAGTCGAAATAAATTTCATAGCTTTCTTGATTCTCATGCTGATCATGAAACAAAAAAGAACTAATGAAGGACGTGTTGTCTACTACACATAACGGACAATGAGTTGTCCACAGTTGCGAGAAAACGAACGAGTAAATAAATAGTAAAAATTCTAAATTTTTCATGGTTTACTTATTCCGCGAGCCTACCAAAAATCAAAAGAATCAAGAGACACTGTTGCTCAAAATCAATTTTTGAATCCAATAGTAACTCCAAAACAAACCCAATGATGTGTCGGGGATTTTTATTTAAAGGGAAAGAGCAAATGGTTATGTTCAATTCATATTATAAAACTAATTCATGATAATAAGAGCTTGAATTTATCGTTTATTTAGTAATATGATATGAAAAGAAAAGTAAGAGGAAAACCTCAAGAAAAGTCACCAACCCTAAAGGGCAATCTCAATTGGATCTTCATAAGCTTGCATATCAATCGAGTCTTTTCATTAATTTCAACTAACACAAATATTAATTGATCACTTAAAATTTATGTAATTTCTTATTTTTTATAAATATTTTGAGATTGTCAAACATGGGTTTTAGTACCTTGCAATCAATTTATGATTATTTTTTATAGATGGATTTATAGAATAGAAAAATCAAATGGAAGTATTGAGAGATTCGATGGCAAATTGATTGCTAAAGCTGTATCATCAAGGAAAAAGAGATTTTAATTTATAATTTTTTTTAGGTGTAAGTGGATTTATAGAATCAAATGAAAATTTGAGGAATTTAAGGCAAAATTGGTTGCTAAAGTAGGTATCATTAAGAAGAAAGAGGTGTGTAAAAATGATCTCATTTTTTGAGAGTAACCGGACACTTATCTCCAACTAATGATACAAAGTTAACATGAGTAAGATAAAAAAAGCTTACGATAGTTTTTTTTTAAAAAAAAGAACACTAGGTTCGAGATTTGAATTTCAAGATAGAGTTAATTTTTCCATTGAATTTTATTTAGCAATTCTTGTTAAAGTTGGTAATACGTGGTCAAATTTTAACCAAAATTCGTTCGATCGGTGTTGTTTACCATGTGTGGTTACTAAGTTGATTTTTAATGGAATTAGAGAGAGGGACTAGTTTTGTCACAAATCCCAAATATCAAGGATGTAATTGTCCTTTTATAGACCACAGAGTGATGATGGGAGTGAATCATGGAACCACAGGGACCTTTGATGCCGAAAACCCATCGTAAAACCAAAAACTCTTACCTTTTCTCATGATTTATTTGCGTTCCTTTGTCTTCGTTTTATAAAAAACGAGCTTCACTCTTTTTCCCCTCACTCCATAAATCACCTTCTCAATCTCTCTTTATCAGTCTTATTGCTCTCTCGCCCTTTTTTTTTTTTTTTTTTGTAATTTTTGTTTAGTTTCTTTATCTGTACATTAGCAACCCCTCCGAGCTTGTATCCAGATTAATCTTTGTACAAATTAGGGTTAGGGTGTTAAATTTCTTTAATTTGATTGTTGTATTGTTTTTGAGATTTGATGATGAGTAACGTGTAACAAAAAAGAAAAATTGACTTAAGGATAGGAATTAGGGTTAGGGTTTCGATTTTCTGTTTGCACGGTAATGGAAATGGAGAGTACGCGTAGATCCTTTGATAGATCAAGAGAACCAGGCTTAAAGAAACCCCGATTAGCTGAAGAACAGTCAAATAATAAGGTCCGCCCTTTCACCCAGAGACCAGCAGCTGCACTTTCTGCAAGATATAGGGCTGGAAATGATAGAGATTCAGAGAGTAATGATTCGAGTCGTAGCATTGCATACGTGCCACAGCCACAGCCACAGCAATACCAGGAGCTAGTGAGTCAGTATAAGACTGCTCTGGCGGAGCTGACTTTCAATTCGAAGCCAATAATCACTAACTTGACGATAATTGCGGGCGAGAATCTCCACGCGGCCAAAGCTGTTGCTGCCACAATCTGTGCCAATATTCTTGAGGTGAAACATCAGTTTTGACTCTAGTAAATTTTGGTTATGGCCCTGTTGTTTTGAATTCAATTGTATGAGAAAGCAGTGAGGCAGTTCCAAAGAAGTAGCAGTAGCGGGAGCGGTGGGGTGTAATTACAGATTAATGAAAACTTTTCTGATCAAGCACAACTTACAAGTCTTGACGTCTTTTTATTTATTTATTTATTTTTAAGCCTTTCTTTCAATATGGGTTTAATTGGTAATGTTGCTGTCCCTCCTTTTCATTCTACTGTTGATTCCAAATTCTATGATTGTCCCATAACTTGCATTATTGGATTGGATATTCAGCAGCTAATACAGGTTCTTTTATGTTTTTGAGAATATTGATGGAAAGTTGTATCTGGATTGCGACTGGCTAAATTTCTCATAGCCTGTGGATAAAATGTATTGATGTATAGTTTTGCTGAGAGTTTTTGTCGGGATATGTTGTCCGTCTTTTGAGAGAAATTAACAAATATGAGTTAGCTGTCCAGGCACATTTAAATTATTGTTGTCACTTTTTTGTATAGGTGCTAATGTTGTATGTGTTGATCCTTTGTGGATGCGTAAGTTGTATTTTCATCCACAGGAAAAAAAAAAAAAAAGAAGGAAAAGCAAGAAGCTCACCTTTCTTTTCTGATAGTTTATGTGAGGCTGGTGGGACTTAAAAATCAATACCTGAGAACATGCAAGATCTGCGTGATGTATGGAAGTTTTTATAGTGGAGCCTGAGATATTCTGAGGTCTGCAATAACATAACTTCAAGTGCGGCAAGGCATAGAAGAGAGCTGGAATTGGATCAAAAGAAAAGTGAAACGCAGAGGGAGAAGGATTGTTCAATTTGGTGAAGGATTCTTTAATTTGGCTATGTAAATTAGTTGGGAGTTGTGTGCTGTATGATGCATATCGTAATGCTATAATGAAATTTTATAGGTTCATTTCGACTATTATGGCTGTCCTTGGGCATCAAATGTAATGCCTTTTTTTGATTATTGTATCATTCTTTATTTTTCCCTTTTCAATTTTGCTTGAGACATTGCTGTTGCTCGGTAGGCTTCAATTTATTTGCAGATAAAACTAGCTCTATGGATATCATGGTGTATCTGCAGTTTTATACTTTTGAGACATTGCTATTATTCTGAGCAGCTCTTAAGTTTGAATGTTAATTTCTTTCTTCTTGCTTGTTGGCTGCTGTTTATGCTATTCGGTTATTTTTTTCAAAGAATATTGCTCCTGTGTATTGAATCTGATTACAATATTAACTTGCAGGTTCCCAGTGAGCAAAAGCTTCCATCTCTTTATCTTTTAGACAGCATTGTGAAGAATATTGGGAGGGATTACATAAAATACTTTGCTGCCAGACTGCCTGAGGTGAGATGTTTGTTCTGCATGTAGAGACTCATCACTCTATTTGGTTTTATTTTAATCGATACACATGTAAAATTTGGTGTTTTATTAAAAGAAAAGTTATAATTCTGTCGTAGAATTTCAATAATGGCCTTTGTAACTCTGAATTGTTTGGATGTAATTATCGGCCCTGCCTTTTACCGTTTCATTTGGCCTACAAGTAGTGCATGGATCCTTTATACATAATTTACTTTATCATCTATTCATTATTGCTAGTTTGTAGGAGGTTACATGCTCGTTTTTTCCATTTATTATTTGGTAGTTATCAATTTTCTGCGACTAAAAAATAAGTAGTTCTCTTTGAATCTTCATCTTCAAGTGACTCGATAGCACCGAGTCATCAATCTCACACTTCTTCAAGTACCAAGGACTCATAAAAAATCATTAAAAAGATTGAATTAAAAAATAGCCTATCTCGATATCATTATTTGAATAACCTTTTACAGTAAGGACTCCGTTTTATCATCATAAAAGAGATAAATCCCATAGTCAGATTCAGATTAAACCATCGTCTTGTAGGTGTTCTGCAAGGCATATAGGCTGGTTGATTCCTCTGTACATCCGAGTATGCGTCATCTTTTTGGAACTTGGAAAGGAGTCTTCCCGCTTCAGCCGCTTCAGATGATTGAGAAGGAACTTGGCCTTGCCCCTGTAGTGAATGGTTCGTCTTCAGGTGCTGCAACGTCTAGGTCTGAGTCTCAGTCGCAACGGCCACCGAATAGCATTCATGTCAATCCCAAGTACTTGGAAAGGCAGCGCATTCAGCAGTCAAGTAGGGTAAGTGGAATTTCCTAATCAATTTTGGTATTGCTGACTTATTCAAAAGTTTCAGTGGCTAGAGTGAACTTTTTGGCACTGCCTTCATTTCCTCGTCTTAAGTTTGAGATGTTCTTGTCTTGCTGAATGCCGAGTCAAGACTGCTTCTGTTGCTGTGTCAATGCATTAATTGTTGTCTATAAAATTACAGTTAGTGATGGTTATCTTTTGGTGGGGTGGAGTAAATACCAATAATAAGTATAGTTCTCTAGTTGAATAATAAAGAAGACACAAAAAGGATTTACATAAGATATTGAAATATCTATGCTGCTTTTCTATCTTCTGAGTGTTATATAGGGATTAAAAATGCTAGGCAAGCTTTTGACTGGGGATTGATCTTTGAGAAGATATTTTCAGTAATTGATGCCAAAAATTGTGGAAATCAGGTGTTTGGGTAGTGTAGGTGAAAGTGTTTGAAGAGTACTGATCCAAAAACGGATTCAGTTTAGAGAGAAGAAGAGAGAAGTTAAGCCTGAGACAAGAAATCAATATTACTTCCCCTCATGATCAATTACAGTTGGAGATCTTTTCGTTATACTATTGGTTGATTACCCACTCGACACACTTTTCCTACCAACTACCAATTTGTTGTAACAATCTCACACTTCCCAGCAAGATATTCTCACAAATTTACTGAGATAAAGAAGAAGAGAGATTTTTTTCGATCAGTTGACCAAATTCCCATATATTGGGTGCATTTTTGAAGAAGCAAATAGATGTGTGTTGAACCATAGACATGTCGAATGTTGTGCTTGTGATAAATTCTGGTACAGAAATTCTAATGTCGGGTTCACTGACTGAATAGTCAATTCCTTTCTAGTAAAGTTTTACCATCCTACTGACTATATTCCTTTGTTTGTCTGGTTTCATATGATGAAGGCAAAAGGATTGGCTAATGACCTGACTGTTCCTTTAGCCAACTCAACTGACGAAGTGGAGAGGCCAGACAGAGCTGACAGTATTGATACTCGACGACCATGGGCGGATCCTCCAGTTAAAGCTCATGTATGTAAAGTAATAAAATCTGTTGTATTTAACATGAAATCATGCTAATTTAGTTAGTTTTGCAGACTCTTCAACGCTTTCACAGAGAAGCATTAAGTGAGCCTGTTCTCGAGAAGAAAAAAATTGGTGCAATATATGGAGACTTTGAATATGGTTCTGATGTTTCAAGGAAATCTGGCCTGGGAATTGGAAGAACAAGTGGAAGGGTTGCTGAGCAAGGGCAAGGGCAAGAGAAACCATGGTATGGAGTGAGCAGCAGCGCTGCAGAGCAAATATCTGGGCAGAGAAATGGTTTTAATATGAAGCATGGATTTCCAAATTACTCAGCATCCAAGTCTTCTATAGCTGATTTGCATCTACAGCCAACACAGAGAACTGGAAGAAGTGGAAGTGGGATGTCTGCTAACTGGAAAAACTCTGAGGAAGAGGAGTACATTTGGGACATGCACTCTAGATTATCAGGTCACGATGCAACCAATCTTTCCAATAACTCAAGAAAAGATAGATGGACTCCTGATGATTCAGAAAAATTGGTAAGACTGAATGATTAAGATTCTTAAACTGAATATCGATACTTCCTGTTTGAGAAATCTATTATCTGAATGGGAGTAAATAATTTTTTTCTTTTTTTTGTTACCTTGGATGTGTAAAATAGGGACTGTCATTTTAAAATTTGCTGTTTGAAATGCTATTGCGCAAAGATATAACAATATAAGGCATTATGACACGTACATGTTCAATTCATTTTTGATTGACCACGAAGGTTTTTAGATGTGATAGTTTAGATGATTTTGGTCTCAGCAGTTTGTGAAGAGCGGCTGATCCAAATCCTTGTCTGATAGCCACATCAAGGTTGTTTCTGTTTTCATTTTTTTTTCTGCTTTGTTTTAATGTGCAGGATCTCGAAAGATTTGATGGAGAAACTTCTTCTGATTCATTGTCTATTGATCAGAAAGAATGTACTACTCTTCGGCACCGTTCATCCTCACCATGGAAATTGCCAGAGTCCCCCTCAACAGATGGATTGATCCATTCTGGAACTTCTGCTACTAATGCAGGTCACTTAGAGGGCTATTCAGCCTCTCTTGGTGGTGTGGCTACAAGTGTAAGGTCTTCGTTGGGCAGGATGGCTGTTCGACCACTCTTGGGTTCATCTAATATTGGAACAGCAGGTTTAGTGTCTTCCACAAATGCATCATCGGTGTCCACTGAAACCTTAGGGCAACAAAAGTTTCAGTCTCTAGGTGCTGTATCACCATCTGGACAGTCGCCCATATGCCAACGACCATCCTCACCCTCATTTCAAGCGTGCTATCCTCAATTTCAGAATTCAGGAGAGCAAGACCACCATCAATCCCAGTCAGTGACCCGGCCTGATTACAGGGCTTCTCAATTATCAGGAAATTTGCTGCCTTTGAATGTTCAGCTTGGTAACTTGCCAAAATTGCAGTCCGAAGACTTACCAGCTCCTTCATTGCCCTCTTTCCAACTAAGCCACCAGTATCATCTTTCACAGCCACGACAACCAGACTCCAAAGAGGCTGAAGCTTTTGGTCAGATCCAGAGGCCACACCTTCCCCCAGTCTCCAATTTCGGAACTTCTTCAACTTCTGGAAGTTCTGCATCAGACCATTTAAATCCAATTACTGCTGGAACTTCAGGACAATCTAGCACAAGTAGTTTGCTGGCTGCTGTTGTGAAGACTGGAATTCTCTCCAAAATAAACTCCAGTGTGATACCTGATCGAAATTTTCAGGATAGTGGGAAAATGCCGTCGCAGTCAAGTATTCAGCCTCCTCTTCCAGGCGGGCTTCCCCCTCGGTTTTCGTTTTCAGGAACCAGGATTGCATCTGCAGCCTCTCCTCAGTCACAAGATAACTCACCAACTACCTCGGATATTTCTCAGAGGAAAGACGAGCAGCCACCACTTCCACATGGCCCTCCACCTTCATCAGAACAAACTCCAGATGCTGTTAGTAAAGCCCCAAACCCAATTTCAAACCTTTTGAGCTCGTTAGTTGCAAAGGGTTTGATATCTACATCAAAGTCGGAGGCATCATCTCCATTGCCAACCCAGTTGACTATTCAACCACAGAAGAACCCAAGCATTACTTCCCCTAGATCCATACCAATTTCCTCCACAACTCTGTATTCATCCACCGTAGATGAATCATCTATCCCAGAACCTGATACCAAAGTTTCTGTTGCACTGCCTCAAACCACCACAGTGGACATAGATAATCTCATAGGATTGGAGTTTAAGTCAGATGTAATCCGAGAACTGCATCCACCCGTGATCAGTTCACTCTTTGATGACCTTCCTCATCGATGCAGCATATGTGGCCTTCAACTTAAACTTAAAGAACGGCTTGATAGACATTTGGAGTGGCATAACCAGAAGAAGCCTGAATCGGAAGGTATTGATAGGGCAACAAGGAGATGGTACACTGATTTAGTGAACTGGCTTGCTGAAAAGGTAGGACTTCCATCGGGAGTTGAGTCTTCTGGTATAATGGATGACCTTGAAGAGACAACAGAAGGTGATGAGCAAATGGTTCTTGCTCATGAAGATCATTGTGTGTGTGTTTTGTGTGGTAAGCTTTTTGACGATTATTATAGTCAAGAAAGGAATAAGTGGATGTTCAAAGGAGCAGTGCGTATGACGTTACCACCTGGGGATGGTCAGATGGGAACTGCAAAGGAGAGTGCCAAAGGTCCCATCGTGCATGTGAATTGTATATCTGAAAGTTCACTTTGTGAATTGGGACTAGCAAGCAGCATTAAAATGGTAAGGGAGCTTAAATCTTTAGAGGTGATTCTGGATCTGAGCACGTGTGACCTTTAAGATGCTCTACATCTATTCATCTACATCTCTTGAAGGATTGGACCCGTTATTTGTCCAACCTTCTTGGTGAAATGTATTGGCTTATTTCTGATCTTGTTTAATTATTTTGCCCTTACAATTTGATGATTGACTTGGGTTACTAGTGTAGTTGGTGCAAATACTGTTTAGTGATGTCAAGATCTTGGGTATTAGGTCTGTGCTAATGGTGGGATCCAGCCCTTTCTTTTATAATTGAGTATGCATTTAGATTGGATTCAAATGTCTGTAGCCATTTGAATTTATGCATTTATCATTAATTATAACAGTGGCCATGCTTGCTGCTTCTCATGTAGCAGTTCCTGTACCCTAACACTAGCCACTATTTGCTGATTTGCTGTATGTTGTTCCTGTACTTTTCTCAATACACTTGTTACAATACTGGGGACTGAGATTTGTATAAGAAATATGGTTTGCCATTTGAAAATATTAAGCACTTTGGGCATTCCCTCTTTTGCCGAAGTTTGTTATGATCATTGGGTCACCCATCCGCATGCTCCTAGCACATTATGATTAGTTGGATTACTATCACATTTTTCCTAGATAATAGCACTGCACATATTTTACATCTGTTATGACCACTATGAATACTGAACTCATTTGTATTTTCTTTATTTTCTGCTGGGTTATTGATGGAACCTCATTTTTTGGCAGGAAAAGGATGTGTATGCCTGAACCTGAATCGGAATGCCCTGCAGATTGCTCCTATAGAGGCCAATGAGGAAGTCCAGGTTCACAATACATCAGTTTTGTGATTGGGCATACCATGCTAATTTTGTTTCGCACCAAAATGGTGCTGAGAGTTTTCTTGTACTTGTGCTTTTGTAATTTTTTTCTTTAGTGTTAATTTACAGTTCAATAGAAATACATAAATCAGTATTTTCTTCACCAATTTGGTTGATGTGTTCTTTATATGTTGCTTTTTTGAAATTACGGAGGCAGATCTGAACTCATACCACCATCCAATGCCTGCCTGCAATGCAATTACAAGCAACTGTGTCCCATCCCCATTCAGCTTCTTCCATTTATCGGTCATAAGATGAAGTAGCTTCTGCCCCTTTTGTTTTCTTTCTTTTGTTTAAAATGTTGGGTGTTGCTGTGCTAGTAGTACATTGTTTCTTGAATTGCGGACCTTGTTTAATAGATTATGATGCATTGAGAGTTCAATTTTTCCAACTTCATTTTCTTCTTTTCGTTCCATGTAGTAATGTTATTTTCATTTTTGTCGTGGCTTTCGTTTTCATAAAGTAGATGTTTTAGTTTTTCTTTTCCTTTTTCCCTTAGTTCTGTTTCCTTGAAGAGTTTGCTGACTTTTCTTATTTGCTTGGATATTGGTCCTCCTGCTTTTAGATTAAGTTGGTCTATGATATGCACGGTTATGTTCCAGTTAAATCCAGCCCTTGTTCGATCAGAAATTATGTTTGATTTAGGCGATAAGTGCTAACAATTTTATCTACAGTTAATATCTAAACTGCCTCCCATTCCATTTGAGTTTGTATCTTTTCTTTTCTACCCCACCTTGAAATACATGTCAACGTGATGCAGCTCTGACCACATGTAGTGGCATGCAAATAAATTGCCATGGCAATTATAGTTTAGTACTCGCTTGTAAAAATACAGTATTTGTTGAGGGACATCACAAACTTATTTATATTTTTTGTAATTCGTGGAATTCAATACAAATGTCAACCCGACGTGGTAGTAGGCGCACAAGTCATGGGTCTTCTGGGCCTATGGAATTAACGGGGAATCAATCACGCCATTTTCTCCGAAATTGTGATGCAATACCTAAGATTTAATTTATAGTCCTCCCTCTCCTTCGTGAGAGTCCGAAAGTTTGATCACAAAAGGTGCCATATTGCTTGTCATAACAATTTTTATGCTCAAAGGGACCCTTGAAGGCATTGCTGTTGTTAGATCACAAATTTAGCCGCTTGTTTTATAGTTCAAAGTGGATTTTTTACCGTTGGAAATGCCTTTTAAAGTGAGAAGAGAGCTTGAGCCCATTTGGCTTTCGTTTCTGCTTCTTTGCAAAACATCAATTTACTTCTTTTGCTCCGATATAGAATTCCTCAATGCTCTTGGAGAAGGACAAAACTTCTCAAAATCTGAAAGTGGAGAAAATGTGGAAAACGTGTTGCTCTAAATCTGATGCTAACAAAAATAAGTATTGTGATAATTTGGTGTCTACCTACAAAGGATTTGGAGGACAATGGAGCTAGAGAAGATGTCATATTGGATGAAGACGAACGGTACATATAATTTCCTCTTTGCTTGATGGGGAGCCGTTTTTGATTCATACCGAGCTTATGAATGGCTGACTTATTTGTTTGGTGTGTTTGATGCAGAGATATATACAATGATCTGCTGGTTGACTGGAGCTCGTAGACAATGATCTAGATCCATTCTGTTCGGTTTCACTCTATCAAATTAATAGATTGATTGTAGTTTCTATGCAAGAGCTAGCCTTTGCATATCTCTTTAGCAAGCAATATTGGTGTTCAGGGGCATCAACCTCCTCTTGTACTCTTTTGGTGGTGGCCCTGTAACAGAGTTTTGACTGTCATGAATTGGTCCCACCATGCTGATCCTGTGCTGTGCTTTATTAGGAATTTCTCTGCTCACTTTTGCTAAAGTAATGGGGATGGTGCCGTTGGTATTTGAACCCGAATGCCAGGAAAAAAGTCTTTCATTCTGAATCAGATAGATTGATATCCCAAAGAGGTTAACATCCGAAACAAGTTGATATTAGTTGACAGGAATATACAAGTGATGGTGGCTTGACACCATTAGGCTGATAGACCTAAAAGTTGGTCTCTCTAGTCTCTACTATACATACCGTTTGTAAGCTGGTGGTGTTTTAATGGCTAGAAAGTTGACCATGGTGGTGGTCAGGTGACTTGTTAAGATGCGATTCCATTGGTCAATGGTAGGAATTAAGATTGTACTTTCAGGCATGATTGGGACTTCGGTGAAGTTGTGCAGAGGAGTTGTTACTGGTTTGATCAAGAGCTCCTTTGGTAGCTATTAGGTTCATTTTCTATAATCCACTGTGCTTCCACTATCCACCATGCAAGCATCATTGTTTTGACTTAATTAGAGTGAGATTGGAGATCAGTACAGTTAGGTTTTTTTTTTTTTTTCCCCACTCTTTACTCTTTTTGTTGAAAAAAAAATATACATATTACTTTAGAAGCCCAATCCATCTTCACTAGTAACTGAATTTAGGATTCGGGTCAAATAATTTTTATTTTATTAAATACTAAACATTTCAAGTGATGTCTTTTTAAGGGATGAAAATGAATAGATTTTCTTCTTCTTGATTTTTTTAAAAAGAAAATAAACACATATACCACATTTTTTAAAGCAAAGGAGGAAATTTTCCATCCGTTTGGGAGTGAAATATGTTGAAAATTTATCTTATCAAAGCAAAATAAAAAAAAATGGAAGAAATAATTTGTTAGCAAGGATTTGAATTGAAAATTTTTAGAGAAAGAATAGCAAAGGGAAACATTTTAATCCTGCGGGGCCGGCCATGCCCCTGGATCGGTCTCCGAGTCCATACGCTAACTCCCCACTTCCCATAACATCATGGCATCGTTTTCTAAACAAAACAAATCTTTAGCCACATCACTCCATCCCACTGTCTGTTCTAAATATTTAACCAAACCAATAAGCTAGGCTTGGATGCATCATAAACTCCAGTTTTATTCTAGCTGGACGCCAACCTGAAAAGGCCATGATACACTAAATTCCATAATGAAGCCTAAATATTCTATTCTAAATCGTTAAAAAAGAGAGGAGGCAGAGATTAATTCCTCAGTTACAATTTACAAAAGCTAGCCATAATGGGCTAAGTTTAGATTCTGTTCGGCAATAACGGCCAACACAAAGATTCCCATTTTTTCAGAGAGAGAGAGAGAGGATATATGGAATAGACAATGATTTTGCAGAGATTTTCCGACTCCTAAAATGTTTTTAACCTCTTTACAGAATTTGCAATTGGGATCCGAGGCAGCCGGCCCAGCCTGACACAGCTAATCTTCGTTAATTACTTCACTAAGCTCACCCTTTTATTCTTTAATTGCGTAAAAGCTCTTTTCTTTTTTCTTTTTCTTTTTCTTTTTTAGCAAAGCATTAGGTGGAACCGTGGAAGTTCACATCTTTGCCACTTAATAAAGCTTTCGATCTAATATTTATAAGGAAAAAAAAGTTATAAATTAAATAAAAAAGGAATAATCCAGGTAGCAGTTAGCATGCACGCCTCGGCCTGGCCAGCAACTGACCCCACTGCTTCGTCTCATCACTCACCGTTAGACGGCCCCACCACGAGATTCCTATGCGCCACAACATTGATTAAAACCCTTGATCTTTTTTCATAAACATTTTGTTGCGTTCCAATTTAATTAATTATAAATAAAGTGCAATTAAACTTTGAATTTAATTGAAAGGACTGGCTTAGAGGTTAATGAATTTTTTTTAAATTCAAATTTTAAGATTAGTATAAAAAATTGAATGTTAATAAATTCATCAATTACCCAAGTAGATTGGTTTGAATAAAATGAACTCTAATCGCTTAAACAAATGATCTTGAATTTAAATTTTTGTATACGTAGAAAATTCATTAGATGGTTGTACTAACCTTGTGCATCAGACTAAATAGTGAGTAATACCTTCGAAATTTTAATAATAAATTTATCAATAAAATTGTTATTATCATCATTTTTTTTAGACAATTATTAATAATTATTATATAACAAATATTAATGGAGGGGTGTGTCGATAATCTTTTGAAAAAAATAGTGAAAATAACAATTTGATTAATGAATTTAACAATATCTTAAAAAATTTATTAACTTTTTTTTTAAATACACAGAATAAATAATGCATACCGAAAGTGAGTTTTTTTAAAAAAATTAATTTCAATGGATAGATAAATTAAAATTTTTATCATATATATATATATATATATATGGAAAAAAAAAAAGAAATTAAGGTTTGAACATGTCAAGTCTGAAATGGTCCCCTACACACTACAACCAACCCAAGCTGAGCTGAGAGAGAGAGAGAGAAAAAAGGTGCAAAACCATTAACAAAGATGATAATGTCTTTTTAAGAATATCTTGACTAAATCATACCAATTTACCGAGTAATATGAATATCAAATTGATAATCAAAAAAATTAAAATAAAGATGGAGGGTGACAAGGTATAAAATTAAAAAGAGATTCTTGCTTTAAGTATTGAAGGGACCGGCCATAGAAGATAGCTAGAGTGGTGTGGTATTTGTCAAAAAGGTTAGCTAAGCTGCCGCCACTGTCTTTCTCCTACTTTGCCTTCGCTCTTACGTCTCCGGCTTTCATAGGTCTGATTTTGTGTACGGCTGACCCTTTCTGTCTACTCAAACATCAAACGTTTATCGTAAGCACCACCTGCTTCCCAGCAGGGGATGGCCAATCCTGTACAAAAATACATTTATTATGGATTTATACACATTAAAATTTAGCCTATTAACTGTGATGTGCATCTTCTTTGAACAAAAGTTTTGTCAGAGAATTTTTCTTTTCTGGTTTTTGGTGCTTTTCTCATTTTCGCCTAAAAAAGTGATTTCATTCTTGTAGTTGAAGTTGTTGATCTACTGCTTTATTATATTATTTGTAGGAAATGTTCAAGCGTTTTGAGTCAACTGTAGATGATATATGCACGTTATGTGTGAGCTTAGCAATAAATTCACTCACACCCACCATGTTTTTTTTTTTATCTTAATATTCTCATCTCATATTAAAAATATAATTAAACATATTATAGAAAAAAATTATAAAATTTTACTTATTTCAATAAATACTATTTTAAAATTCAAATTCTGTTTGGTTTTTGAGAGACTCTTTCGATCCAAATACATCATAACTTTTGACATAAAAAAACACATGAAGTGTGTGGGAGGTTTGAGAGAGGTGCAAACGTCAATGTTAACAGAAAAGACATACCGTGTAATGATTTTGTTACATGTAAAGTTCCATAAGAATGCTTTGCTGCCTAAATTCATCAGATAAATTTTGGATTGTTGGTTTGGTTAATTATATGTTTTTTACTTTTTTTGATGTGATTTTTCTATTCTTTTTATTTAATTGACTCTTCTGGTTATGATTTTTTGTTTTTAATATAGTCATTCTATTTAACTTAATATTAACACTTGAAGATGTTTATGCCTAACATATATCAGTCCATATGTCAAGAATAAACAATAAATTGCATGAAAATTGGATGGAGTGACTAAATTAATATTCTTTCTTTTTTTTTTTTGTAAAATGAGCAACTAAAAGAAAAAAAAATGTCAAAATTTTTATTTTAGTCTTTGTAATTATTAAAAAAAAGTTATTTTGGTCTTCAAATTTATTTTTACATTTTAGTCCTTTATTTAGAAGTTTTTTGACCCTCAAAGTTTTCAGAAAAATATTTTGTTTCTAAATTATAAAATTTGTGCAATCCGATTTCTATATATCAATTTTTTTTTATTGACAGGGTATCTTATAGTTTTAAATATAAACAATACATACATGGTATCATTTGAACATTTTAGCTTGAATAGAAGATTTGATCTTATCAAATTAGCTCAAGATGGTCTATTTGATCAAAAATTTCAAAAGTTCAAGGACTGAAAAAAATATTTTATGTTGATTTGGATAACCAAGAGAGACATTGATGCAATCTCGAAGGTAAATAGAAGATGTTCACCCTTTTCTTATGGCGATCCATCTTTCCATTTTCAAAAAGTTTTACATATTGAAGGAAGATTCTTATCAAGATGAATGCGAGCTTCCAATTCAGAAGGTAGAAGAAGAGAAGGGAAAAGTTAAGAATTTCATTAGATCTTTAGATTTCATTCAACATGTAATGTTAGTTTGTGCAATCAGGTAAATAAAAGATATAATTGTATAAAGATAGATTTAGTCATTAATTTTATTTAATAATTATGAGTAATATTGAAACTTTTCAAAAACGAAAGATAACATTGGAAAATTTTAAACTATTTATTTTAGGGATATATTTCAAAAATTGGTGACTCTATCGGGACAAAAATGAAGTTAACTTGTGAATAAGTTCTGCTATTATAACAAATAATAATTAAAAAAAAAAAAAAACAGAAGAATAAGAGGAAGAATCAGTTCGATGTAGACATCTATGCTTGTTTTTTTGTCCTTCAATGCAAACTCATACAGTCATCATACTGAAATTAATTTGCTCAGGCCAGGAACCTATTAATGAAAAGTACTAAAAAAAAAAAAAAAAAAGTTCAATTCTTTCTTTTGTGTTTTTTTTGCCCCCTAAAGGTTGGGCTCAAGATCACCATTAGTACTCCTACTTTCGTAATTTCATCATATCAACACTTCAACGTAAAAATGGCTCTAACTGATCCCTGTAACGGATCTCAAACGAAGCAAAAAATATAAGTTTTAAGAGAATTTAGGAAAAAGGACACATTTATCCCCCAACTATCACCCAATTCTCAATTTAGTTTCCAAACAAAAAAAGTTTCCAATTAAATTCCCATCTATTAGACATTATCCAATTAGATTCCACATTTACCCTCTTCTTAAAATTTCTCACCTTCATTGGTGGGGCCTGGGGGTTACTTATGTAACGTTATCCAATTAAGAATTTTTTATTTTTTATATATATTTTTTTGTTTGGGACTCAGCTGAGAACCACGTAATAGTTAGAAGACAAATACGTCTTTTAACGGATAGAAAAGAGAGGTTTTTTTTTTTTGGTCATTTAACCAACAAAAGATTTGAAACGGGAAGTGCACAAATTAGTTGCATCGAAAGAGCTAGAGCATGTGCATAGTTGGCGATCCACTAACGTAGTAATAATAATAATAATAAATAAATAAAGACAACATTCTTGCTTATCACAGCACATCTCAACTGCTACCCCTCGTGGAAGTTCCGTTTCATTTGGCAAAAAACAAGAAAGAAACCTGTGGTGATATTAGATTAGAGCTCTAGGGTTTATTAGTCTTTTTCTTTTCTTTTTTTTTTGGTTGTGTAATCAATTAATAGCAGAGAAGTAAGCTATAAATTCATTCAAACTCTAACGATATCCCAAAATTTGAAATCTCAAAAGGGTTTTTCATCTTATTTTGTGGGGTTCAGGTGCATAATAATTATGTGGGAATGAGACAGAAACAGCGTTTCAAAATTTTCTGGGTCACACATTTGATTCAGTAAAGTTGAAATCCACACGCGCCCCAGGCTTTTTATCGGTAGGTTTTGGCAGTTGAGTCATTTCATCTACTTGCCTTTTGTTTTTTAAATTTTCTTTGTCCTTACTGTATATATATATTTTTTTTCATTTCTCTTGTAGCAAATCCCATAATTTTGGTTTATTAAAAACATTAAAAAGAGAGAGAGACTAAGCTGGCTTGGCCACTTTATTAACTTTTTCTAAAGCAAGCAAGCAAGCCAACCAGCCAGCCAGCCATTTGTCCTTGTTTATATATAGCCACTTGCAACAGGAAAAGAAAAAAAAAAAAAAGAAAGAAAGCAAGAAAGAAAAAGCGAGCAGCTGGTGCTTAAGCCTATCATAACACCCAAGAAAGCAAAAGCAAAGAAACAGAGAGAGAGAGAGAGAAGAATTTCGAGGGAGAAGAAGGGCTTCTTTTCTTTCCTTTTCTTTCTGGGAAGCTTGAACTAATTTGTTGATGCAGATGGAGCAGCAGCCTCAGCAACAGAACCAGTTAATGGTGCAAAACTCAGGCAGCCTTAGCTTTAGCAGCCAAATGTCTAAAGAAGATGAAGAGATGTCAAGGTCTGCTCTCTCTACTTTTAGAGCCAAAGAAGAAGAGATCGAGAAGAAGAAAATGGAGGTCAGAGAGAAGGTTCAAGCTCAGTTGGGTCGTGTTGAGGAGGAGACCAAACGTTTAGCCACGATTCGTGAGGTATGCACTTCGATTACTTAGTATATTTGAGCAATTCTCTGTTTTTCCTTCCTCCATTTTTTAATTTCAAGTTTATTGTGACTAATTAAATGGAACTTGTCGCTGATCTGAACCAACTCAAAGCATCGACATGAAACATGGAAATTTCCAGGTTCAACATTTAGGGTTTTGATGCCAAAAATATAAACAAACCTATAGCTTCAATTAATCCTTTTTCCTTCAGCATGTCAAGTTCGGTTGTTAATTTTTATTCTATTTTGGTAAATTTACTGCAAGAATTGATGAGATTAACTGTGCCTCATTAATGTTTTTTTAAGTCACCCACATGAAACAAGTTGGGACTTTAAAGCTCAAAAATCTAGTATGAGTACTAATTTGTTGGGGATGTAATTGGGTTTTTGCTCTTTGTAGCCTGTTCTTGACATTAATAATTTGTAACACCAATTTTTATGTGGGAAACTTCCTGGGTTTCATTTTATTTATAAATTACCTGCAGGAGCTTGAAGCGCTGGCAGATCCCATGAGGAAGGAAGTTGCTCTTGTCCGCAAGAAGATCGATGCAGTGAACAAAGAATTGAAGCCACTAGGACATACTGTGCAGAAGAAGGTAAAATTTTATATGGATAACAGTTAATTCAATTACTTGGACTTGGGGGTGTGTGTGTGTGATCGTGCAGAATGGTATAGAAGGATCCCTATAGACGACGCCAACTAGTTTGTGAATGAGGCTTGGCTGTTGTTCTGTGTGTTCGTGGGCACTCATGGAAATGATCCATATAGCTGACCATTAAATTTGGTTGATGTTTTGCTACAGGAGAAAGAATACAAGGATGCCCTTGAGGCTTTCAATGATAAGAACAAGGATAAAGTACAGCTCATAACCAAATTAATGGAGGTGAGTTTCATATTTGGTTCTATTTGTATGAATTTATCAAACTGAAGCAGAAATAATAGAAATTGTGTGCATGATTATTTTCTTTTTATGCTAATTATACTCCCTGTTTATGTATTTGAGTTTGAACAGCTGGTGAGTGAAAGTGAGAGGTTGAGGCTGAAAAAGCTGGAGGAGCTGAGTAAGAACATCGACTCCATGCACTGATTATAGAGCAGCAGCAGCAGTCTTAGTGGTGATAACTGATTAGGTTTGTGTGATGTATTTAAGGTAACTTTTTATATTTATATATGGGTGTTATTTCTGGGCTTGGTGTATTCTATCCTTGTTTGTTTGAATTAGAAAATATTTGATGAAGTTTTAGCTGATTTAGGAGAGGAAAATACCTTATAAGTAGGTTTGTAACTAAATGTTTCTTGGCTCTGCATTTTGCTTTCCTTTTTTTTTCACTTGTATGTTCAACTTTGTAATGTTTCTTTTTAGTTTTATTTTGGGTTTGTTCTGAAGAAGAATGGATGTCAAGACCATCATTTTGCTCTTTTCGTTCCCCCTTCATATGGTAAATAGAAGTCAAGTTTTTTTTTCTTTTTTCTTGGTAATAAATAAATGAAAGTAAATTTCTGGTGATTATGAGGCCAATGGAATACTGTGAGGTGGGTTGCACTTTTGAAGCTGTTTCTTGACATGGAGCTATAAACATTTCCAGTACTTAGTGTTGCTTGTTAAGGCACCTCTACTGAGCAAGCTACCTTTGTGGTTAAGCCTAATGGTGCTCATGACCGGCAAGTTTGCGTTTTGCCAGATGGTGCTAATGCAAGGTTGCAATTTAATCGGATTCTAATCGATCCTTTATTCGAACTTAATTCCAGCAGTATTGCGTTTTATTATTTGCTCAATTCCATTGGTCCATTACATAGCTAGAATTCATACATGACAATATTATATTGTTGTCCCTGAAAACGTACAAGCTTAAGCAAATTCGTGCAGTACGGTTATGCAGTGCTATACTGTTTTTTTCTCGCGGGAACTGCAACGGAAAAATAGATGGCAAATGATCACAGAGTCCATAAAGCCCACCAAAAATAACGAGAAAAGCAGATTTTATGGTTTTATTCTACACCTACTCACACCGAAAAAGTGACCAAAAAAGTACATGAAAAAAGGGTGTTGATATGACTACTGCTTTATTCCATATTAAAGTTGTGGGTCTATGCACCCTAACGGAGAATTAATCCCTTCCAATTGCAATTAATTTACATTTTCTCTTTACACTTGCTATTTATTTTTTTAAATACAAGAACAAAAAATAAAAAATAAAATATTTTTTTTCTAATTTTTTTATTTAAATGTCCTAGCCATTCATTCTTAATTTTTTTATTCATCTTTTTTTTTTTAACACATGCTATTTCTTTTTCAAAAATTCTAAGAAGCCGAAAAAAGGATCTTAAGAAAGCAATGAAATTTATACATAAAAAAAATTGCAAAAACCTTAACACGGAAAATCAAAAGTTTCACGAAAATCCTGCCTAAGAAAAACTGCACATCTAATGCCATCAAATGTGTTTCATCAACACATACCTCATCTTTTTTTAAAAAAAAAACTTAGCCAGCATAAATGAATAAAAAAATAGCAAAACAAATATCAAATTCTTTTTCAAATTTTATTTTTTAAGAAATCGTGGCTAACAGGAATTCAATACGTTGTCTCTCTTTCTACAAAATCAAAATGAATGAAAAAATGAGACCCTCTCATGCCGTAACATCTAAATCTTAAGGATGCTATTATACAAAATAGAGGGATAATCCGTCCCTTAGCATTCAACTATCAAGCACCTAATTGTTTAAATTAAAATCTTAAAAAAAAAATCGAGATCATAAGTACCTCTACATCGAATATATATCCGCCCTACACCATGTCAAACTAGATACCATCTCACCGTAATTATTCCGGACATCGATACTTTAGGTTTGGAATGAAAATACAAGAATCAAAAATTAAGAAATCGAAATGTTATTTATATTCTTGTTTGGAATATTAATAACGAATCGAAATGTAATTTAAATTTTTTAATACTTGATTTTTTTATATAAACAAAAATAATGATTAAAAAATAATTTTATCAAACTATAGTGATGATAATGGTAATGATTATGGTAATAGTTGTTACAATGGTGTAGTGTTTATGATAAAAATAATTAATATATAAAAAATAAATAAAATATATTATTATTTTGAAGAAAAAATTTTATTCTCATTTCTTATTTTTGTTTCCATATTTTAAATGAGAATGAAATTATATATAATTTTCATTCTCATTCCAACTTCATTCCTTTCAACTAAATAGCTATAAGATGAGAATAAGAATTTCTCATAACTCTTTTTCTAATTAACAAACAGTACTTTGGGATATCTCCATCACGGTTCATATTGGATGTTGGACATATATATATATAACTGAAAATAAATAAAATAAAGTTAATAATATAATATTAATTAATTTCACTAACATCTCAGCTTCAAAATTAACGTTTCCATTAGATCCAGGTAAAATTAAGCAACTAATTCCTCAGACAGTTCCTCCACCAATAATCCAACTATACCAAGTTCAATCTCCAACGCTGTCTCTTCCACTTTCTCTCGGCTTCCTTTCCACTCATCGAGCTCTCTTCTAAAATCCTGTTCTACCATCATATCAATGGTGTTGGATTCCACCTCTTTCCATGACTCTAACCTCTTACAAATCCTTTTTGCTATTGCTTCTCTGTTGAAAACCTTGTCTTCTTCCTCTTCCTCAACAATTAGGTCCGAGATCAATCTCTTCATGTCTCTTTGTATTTTTCTTGGAAGATGGGAGCTTGATTTACTAAGTACCTCTTCTAGGATGAGCGTTTCGATGTTCTTTTCCCTATTTGATGAAAATAAATCATCACCATCTCTGCGTTGCTCTTCTTCCTCAAGGTCACTAACTTCTTCTTCTTCTTCTTGCTCTAGCATTCTTCTCTCCAGTTCAACTGGATCCAACTCTGCCAGCTTCTCAAATCTACGGAGCTTCTGCAATAGCTGTTTCTTTGCTTCTGCAAAAGTCAAAAGACAACAGAAAATCAATACAACATACATATACAGATACATGGAAAATAAACATTAAATGCATATACATACATGCCAATAATTTTGCAACTTGGGATAGGACCGAATATACAATGCGCAGTACTGAAACAAATTACTAAGTACTAATTAATATCATCAACAAACATTCGTACAGAGGCAAAGATTCCAATCTCATCAAATTCATCTATCCTCGTATACATACGTACAGCAGCATTCAGTTCCCAATTAAACAAAGCTGTAAAGACATTTAAGACGCCAAAGCTAATAATTTTGCTACTTCCGTTTCCTTTCAGTCTTTTCAACCTCCAATAGGCTAGTATATAGCTATGAAATGGTGTTAAGTGGATGGAGGGTTCCACCACATTTAAGCGACCGTCGAGTGAAAAGAGCGGAGAGGAATATATATATATAGATATAATGAGGCCCCAGAGCTGATAACAAACATCTGAAAAGGACTGACAAATGCTTGGTTGATGACTGTCAATGAAGCCCAATTCATTAATACAAAAGTGATCATGAGCCATCACCTTCCTTCACCAACACAAGTCAATATTATTAGTATATCAATTGAGCTGATCACAACTAAAATTGGTTCCACCAGTTTTTCAAAGTAACCCAAACAGTTGCAGAATTATGAGAGGGGGTCACTTCTGACGACATCGGAGATAATTCTACACAATAAAGAGGACACGCACGCATTAAGAGAGAACTTCATTAATGTACACACCACACCAAAAACCCTAGCTATCAACAAAAACATCGTCTAAATTTGATTGGCAAGTAATCTATCCAATGGAACCCACCAAAGATATGATAATGATCATTGCCACAGATGGGTAGTCCTGGTACCTCATGGAGGTACTTGTAATGATAAAGACGATACAACTAACAAGGCAATGGTAATAGTAGTACCCAAAAATAAAAAAATAAAAATGTTACGTTAATAGTATCTGTGATAGAAAATCATACTCTGTACGATTGCGTAGCTGCATTCTAGATCAAAACCGTCGTCCTCTCTGTGATCGTCATGCCCATCGTCATCATCTTCAAAGGGTGGGTCCAAAACAGAAACAGGACTACATTGTTCCTTATCTTCTTCTTCCTCCGCCTCATTTTGTACTTGGAATTTCTTTAAGCTTTCAGCATCACCATCATTCTCCTTCCCCTAATTTGAAAAAAAATAATATTACATTGATTATTACTTAATTAATTAATTAGTAGTAATTGTTAACCAATTCTATAATTGTGACTTCTTTCTTCTACTCCACATGTTAGGTATGTAGATATAATTGGTGGGTATGTTTTGACTTTCTTTTCAAATAGTTCCATCCAGCCAAATGTGCTAAATTGTTTGGTACATAAATTGGGATCTAACACAAAAAACAAAAGGGATTTGTCCTTTGTTGGAAAAATTATTTTCTTGGACAAGACATATTCCATTAAGAAAAAAGATTATCGCACGAGTAAAGATAAAAAAGAAACAAAAGGTTTATATTCATGTACGGGTGATTCATTTTGACTAATAAAAGGACATCCATACCCCTACTTTCAGTTTGCTAGTTGTAAAGTAGTATGGTAATAGATGAATGGCTATATTTGTCATTAAGATATTCCGACCAGAATTTGCAGAAAACAGACCTTGTTGCCGACAATTCAAAACACGCTCAAACTCAAGAGTCAGAGAGGTTCACGAGTTCACTCGTCAGACAGTATAATAATACTGGACAAAAAAAAAAAAAAAATGAAATAAAATTACACAAACCTCGAATATGTGGCGACTAGGCGAAGTGACCGGAGACGAGAAGTCTGGGGTGCTGCAACCGGTGGAAGAGCTTCTTTGAAGCACAAAATGGAAAGGGCTGTCACCCAAACATCGCTCGTCGTAAGAAACAAAATCACCATGATCTATGATGTCTTTGTTCACAAAATTATCAATATTGTGATCCTCCTCAGACCGGCTAGTACTGCTTGAGGTATCAAATTCCAAATCCAAGGATTTCTCTGACCAAACGTCACTGCTAGGCCTATCAATATGACTGCAACAACAAGAATTAAAGCCTATCTCACAACCACATTTCTCATTTATACAGGTACCAAC